ATAAGGGTATATAAAGCTATAATACAAATCTTTTAATATTGTGGAATTAATCTTATTTTTGATTTTATAAAGTATACTTATGAATTTATTGATTTTTGATTTAAGATTTTCAATGTGATAACTGCAAGACAAATTATCTTGCAGAACTAAACCCAAAAAACAACTTGATTGGTTCTGCTTAATTTCACATTGCTAAACACAAGGTCCAAGTCCGAGAAACTATTGGTTAAAATCTTTGGTCCAAATATAACATAGGCCGATTTGGATGAATTAACCATGAGTTGGTTCATAGAGAACCAATCCTCGAATAATTTGAGTTTATTATTTATGACTTCTAAATCTCGTTTAAGGTCATCAGAAGAATAAAAATGTTTGAATCATCAGCGTAAAGAATACAATTCATCTTTTTTGATAAGTAGGCAATGTCATTTATATAAATCAAAAAAAGCAAAAGGCCTAATACAGACCCTTGCGGGACTCCACACGTAACTTCACGCATCCCAAATTTAACATCATTCACAAAAACATATTGCTTTCTACCCAAGATATAACTCTCAAACCATTGATTTGTAATACCACGAATCCCATAATGGTTGAGTTTATTTAACTACGTGAACTCATGTTGGTCAATATATTTTGAACCAATTCTAGAATGGCTAGTTCACATGAATGGTAGGCTCTGAATCCGTACTGGTTTTCAGAGAGAACATTGTTTTTCATAAAAAAAGAAAATAAGCGTTTGTAAACCAGTTTTTCTAATACTTTGGATAAAGGTGATAATAAAGAAATTGGTCTGTAATTATTTAAGTTATAGGGGTCATTTTTTTGATGATAGGAACAATTTTTGAGAGTTTAAAGCTTGATGGAAAAATATCTTGTTTGAGAGAAATGTTGAAAATATGAGTAAGTGGAGATAAAATTTCGTTTTTGAAAGTTTTAACTATGAATGAGTTAAGTTCATCATAAGTTGACATTTTGGGCTTAAGCGAATTTATTATTTGAATAACTTCTGACCGATTGATAGGTTCAAGAAAAAAAGATGATAGAACGGGATCTGTAAACATTTTTAGTTTATTCAAGGAGTCAACAGAGAAAGTGTTTCGACAAGAACTAACCAAATTAATAAAATTATCATTGAAGGCATTAGATATTTCAAGTTTGTCAGTAATAAATTCGTCAGCAATTTTAATTTTCTCAATTAGATTTTTTGACTTATTTGTTTTTAAAATGTCTTTAATTATATTCCATTTATATTTAGAATTATTTTCGGCCAAATAAAAGTGATTTTCATAAAAATATTTTTGAGCTGATCTTTTAGTCGATGTTAAAAAATTTCGAAAATTTTTATATTTTATTAAATTATTGTCGCTTGGATTTGTTTTATACTTTTTAAATAATTTATAAACGTGTTTAGATAAATTTAATATATCTTTAGTAATCCAACTTTTTTTAATTTTTTTATTTTTAATTGCTGTTGGAGGAACATGATGATTTAGTATATTTAAAAATGTAGAATTGAAGTTATTATAGCATATGTTAATATCAGATTGGTTAAAAACAGAGTCTCAGTTATCTACCATTAATGATTCTTTAATAGCTTTTATTGTATTAGATGAAAATTTCTTTGCTACTAAGATGTCATCTTTCATAGGAAGTGATGTTTGTTTTAAATTAAATGAAAATATGGGATAGTGATCTGATAGATCCACCATTAAAATGCCATTTAGGTGATCTGAGTAAATATTGGTAAATATATTATCTATTAATGTGGAAGTTGTTTTGGACACGCGAGTCGGTTGATCAATTAGCGAGTGATAATTATGAGAATAAAGAATGTTTTCAAAACTGTTTTTAGTATGATTCGAGGAGTTCAAGTTTATATTAAAATCGCCAATAATATATGAAAAATTTGATACATTGTTTTTGCAAAAGTTTGATAAAAAGTCAAAGAATAAATTTAAATTGGGTTTAGGGGGTCTGTAAATTAAAGTAATATTGACAACATCGATGTTCAGTTGAACATCTATGTTAAGCAATTCGCAAATATTTTCATCGAAAAATTCATATTTTTTTGAATACTCAATGTTTTTTTTAACAAAAAATCCAACTCCCCCACCCAATTTATTTTTACGTGGGAGATCTATGAAATCATAATTATCTAAATCAATTAATTTAGACAAATTAGCAGTTAGCCAAGTTTCTGTGATAGCAAGAACAAAAAATAAATAATTCAAATTAGACAAAAGTAACTGAAAATCGCCTATTTTGTTGAATATGCTTCTTGTGTTTACATGCAAAATAGAAAAACAGTTTTTGATAGTTTTATTGTCTTCGTTAAATAAAGAGAAAAAATCAGGAACAGAAAAATACTCGCTGCTGTGAAATAAATTACTCGAATTCAAAATAAAGTCAACAGAACTTGTATTATTTCTAGCCATGTTTGTTGTTGTTGTTGTTTTCGATAGTGTTACTTGGTTTGACATTGAATATCCAGTCGCGTATAATCGGATGTTCGGGCCATAAGTCTTCTTCGAACATTTTTGAAACTTCATTGTTTGCTACGCAGATGCGAAATGCTGTACTAGATTTGTTATCATCGCCTTCAACATTTGAACCTCGTTTTGCTATTGGAAAGATGGATATAAATTTTATTCCAGCTTTGTTTAAGTGTTCTTATTATAGTGTCTGTTTTGGTGATGTTGAGGTTTCCCAAGTATATGAAAGATTTTTTAACTGGTGGTGCAACAGCTTTGAAGCCAAGTTCAGCTTTTGATTTTCCTGTATTTTTCCTGATTAATTCTCTTTTAGGTGTTGAAGCGGTGTTAATCAATTTGCGACGTGAAATTTTAAGTTGAAACGGTTTATTTCCATTATCACTTTCGTCAGTTTGTATATTTGTAGAACAAGGAGCTTTGTTGAAATCTAAAAGTTTCCCGCCAGACCAAGCATTGTTTAGAGTTTTAACAATATTTTCCTTGGTGTTGAATGTATTCAGCGTATGCAAACATTGTTTATTTAAAACAATATTTTCATTAACCAAATCTTCAATTCTGTCAATTTTATTATTTAAATTCGGAGAAATGTTTGAAAATGTTTCAATTATATATATATATATATATATATATAATTATTATTATTATTATTATTACGGAAATATATATACAGCGCTTTTTTATTGTTGAATCTCAAAAGCGCTACTAAATCATAGACAAATAAGACAGACATTCATTGCGCAAATAAATAAGTTTTAAGTTGACTTCGAAATTGTAAATATGATAGGTTAGGGTCACGTAAGTAAGGAGGAAAACCATTCCAAACAACCGGGCCAAGAACTGCAAAGTTGCGGGAACCCGTCACCAACTTTGTGGTCGGGATAAAAAATAAATTGCGCTCGGTTGATCGGAAGGAATATTTTGAAAAATGAGATTTGTATGATTCAAATCTATCGATGAGAGAGGGAGGTGCTGTATTATTGACACATTTAAACATCAAAACTGCCAACTTGAAGGAAACACGTTTTTCAACCCTCAACCAGTGCAACCTATTCAAAATAGGCGTAACATGATCGAACCATGAACCACCCAAAACCAGCTTGGCCACACGATTCTGTATTGACTGAAGCTTTGAAAAAAACTTTTTGGTGACACCATAAAAAAGGCCATTGCAGTAGTCCAGTCCGGAAAAGACGAAAGAGGAAACCAAACTTTGAAGAACAGACGTGTTTAGTGATTTTTTGACATTGCGTAATAAACGGAGTTAGTTGGAGCAGACCCTCACTAAATTATTAATATGTAAATCCATCTTTAGGTTTGAGTCAATAATAACTCCAAGACTACGGACAGATGTGGAAAATTCAATGATGTCATTGCCGACACTGATCGATGAAATTTTGACCTTTGACAACTGCTGCCAAGAACCAGCCGGTAATATTTGTGTTTTAGATTGATTTAACTTTAACTGATTCATACTCATCCAACATCCAATTTCAATGAGACAATCAGTCAGTTCATTCAGAGAAGCATCAGTCGAATCAACAGGACAAGAAACCAATAACTGAATATCATCAGCAAAGGCGTGGGAGCTGAACTCATATTTTTGAATGATATCAAAAACATCAGCAGTGTACATAAGAAACAACAGAGGTCTCAACACAGTTCCCTAGGGGACACCAAACGATAGTTTGTTTATGTCAGAGAGGGTGTTGTAGTAAGAAACCTGCTGGGTGTGGCCTAAAAGATAGGAAACGAACCACGATAAGACTGAATCAGACAGAAAAAAATTTGTGGAGAGTTTATACATGAGACGAGTATGATCGACACAATCTAATGCAGCACTCATATCAAGTAATGCCAAGAAAGAAACGCATTGACTGTCAACTGAAGAGAACAACTGGGAGAAAATATCAATGAGTGCAGTTTCTGTGGAAAAAGATTGACGATAGCCGGATTGATTCTTTGGCAACAAATTGAAATATATATATATATATATATATATATATATATATATTTAATATATTTCATATATATTTATAAAGTTTTGTTCATAATCAACAACATATCAAATAAGTGAATAAAAGTTATGTAGTTGAATATGCGGAGACCGAATAAGACTGTATGTCTTGTGGTGGCCACCGCAGTTAGATATATGAATAAACTTCAACACACAACCTTCGTCAGCGCAAACATAAATATCAAGTCGTCGCCCAATCTACATACCAGGAAAAGACCTTCATCACAAGACACCTCAAACATATTAGCACTTAAGAAAACTTCATCATTACTGAACTAGTTTTTACTTATTGATCACCTCACTTTTATCGATCACCTCACTAAGTCATCATCTAGTCTATCAATTTGCCGTTACTTCATTTTATATTCCATCGTCAATTACTTTTCTTTTATTTGTCTTATTATTATTTATTTTATTCTAACATATTTTATTTTTCATGTTTTATCATTTCTCTTCCTCACTTTTTGTATTTATTTTCTCACTTATTTGTTTTATTTTGTTTCACTGCCTTGCATGTTGTTACAGTTTCTGCGTCTGTCAGATCCTGATTTTTAAAGAATAATAAAAAAAAAATAGTTTATGAAATAAAATAAGGAAAATAACTGAAGCAAAAAGATGATTGAAGATAAATAAGTAAATGTTCGTGTTATACATATATAGACATATAACTATGTAAATGTTCGCTCAGTACATATATAAACACATAAATGTTTAACCATTCATAAAGACCATAAAGACCATTCATCCGCATCATTTGTTCTCGAGTATTAATAATGTTATAATACTCGCTGTCGTAACCGATTTACGATGCGACCGGTTCAAATCTTCGATTGAATAAAATATTCCAAACACTTATTAAACTTTATTTACAGAAGAATCAACTATTATTGTTTATTAAACTTTATTTACAAAAGAAATCAACTAATTGTTTATTTCTAGTAAATTCGCACTAACGCAACAATTAACTTTTAAATCTTTCAAAATCTATCGCTATGACAACGTCAACAAACAAATCAAATATCGCTTTAAATAATTCACCAAATCGCTATTCACAAAATCACGAATTTCACTAATCACGAATATCACTAATCTTCTTGCGACGTGCGCTTATATACTCTTCGCAAGCGTCGTTTCTAGATTCTTCTCGATGGTCCGATTCTAGCATACTCTAGAATGCTCTAGTCACTAGAACATTCTAGAATACGCTAGAATCTAGTGCGTTCGGTAGCACGGTTATAACATTACCCCCTTCTTAGTTCTGTTCGTCCCGAACAGCTTTCGTTTCGGTGTCCGCATGGTACGGAGCCAGTCTATCCAAATGAACGATCTTCATTCTTGCTCTCGGCTTCCGATATTCCTGAATACGGTAGACGACGTCATTCAAGCGGGTGATGACTTGATAAGGTCCTTCCCACCCTCGCTGGAGCTTTGGAGAACGTCCTTTCTTTCGCTGTGGGTTGTACAGCCAAACTAACTCGTCGACAGCAAAACCGCCACTGCTTCCTTTCAAGTCGTATCTGGTTTTGGCCGCCTCCGTGTTTTTCATAATTTTAAGGCGTACGTAACGGTGGATATGGTTTAATCGCTGTCGAAGATTATCCACGTATTTTGTAAAATCAGCAATCAACGCCTCGGCTTTTAGACGGTCTTCTTGATACAAATTGAGTTCATTTAGTAGATTTTTGGTAAGTTCTTTGAGTCTACCTTTTCCTGTTGTTCCATATCTAATGATTTCACCACATTTATTGATTGGCAATTACCTATTTCCTCGCCTTTTTACTTTTAATAGTGTGTTTAGCGGTATTCGTTATTCTGACAGGAATAAGACCATTTTTGTTCGCTTCTACCAGGCATTTTCCAATGACCGCGTTCTGTACATTTGTCGTTGAGGTTGGCTCCATCAAATAGAACTGGTGGCCCCCAGGATCGCAATTCAACTTGCCCCATACGATGTTTTCAGATGATTGAGGTAGTTCTACGTCACAATCGACTGTCACTCGAATGCATTTTTCATCGCTATCCCCTATTATCACTTCTGTATTTCTCCATCTAAGAATGCGTTTTTCTAAGTCAATTTTGAACCCATATTTTGTCAGAAAGTCGACACCTATTATGCATTCGTCGATGATATCCGCGACTAAGAATGAACCTTCGAATAACAAGTCGCCTAGCTGAACAGTACGGAGAATCTTTCCATAGACTGGTGCTGTTCCTCCGGTAGCTGTTCGAAGGATGTATTTGTTAAAAGTCTCTTTCTTTAGATTGGGTACCAAACCAGATCTTAAAATCGATTTTGTTGCTCCGGTGTCGACTGTAATTGCACATTCTCGTTGATCAACTTTTCCGTTCAGCCATAGGTCGTTTTGATTTCGATGTAGTCTGGAAACGTTAATTTTGTCGAAGGGCCGATCGTGATACAGGATCATCTTCTCTTCTTTTGCGCCATCTTGTCGCGAAATTTCGGCAGTAGTTATCTTTTAGGCGGTGTTTACAATCACGACGTAGATGGCCTTTTTCACCACAAATCCAGCATTGGGGTACACCATGCTGTTGGGGTTCGCGTTTCACAGCCACCTTCTGGCAAGGGCATTCTTCATGTACTTGGCGTAGACGTACGTCACTTTTTGATGCTTGCTTTGCCGATTCTAAAGTGAGACTGTGCGCAACGGCATCCTTGAGTTTTCGTTTATCTGACAAGAGAAGGGATTGCTTGAGTTCCGAATCACAAAGGGCTTTGATAAACGTATCCAGGGCAGTTTCGTCTCTATGCTCGGGGTCTGATGTCGGATACGACAGCAATGTCAACCGTTCGATATCTTGTGCCAGCTGCTGAATGGATTCACCAGATCGTTGCGTTCTGTTTCTAAGCTGAGACCGATAAATCTGTTTCATGTGTTCTTCACCATAACGTAAATCCAACGCGCTAACCAAAACTTCATAGTTGAAGTGGTTCTCCGCCGGAATCGTCTGAAGAACCTCTGCTGCTGAACCTCGCAGGGCCAGTATCAGTGCTGTTGTTCGTTCTTTTCCGTTCCAACAGTTACTAGTTGCCGCTGCTTCGAACTGGGTTTTATAAACGTTCCAGGACATCTCTCCGTCAAATGCTGGTACCTTCAAAGTTCTTCCGGATGCGTGATCTAACGGTATGGCCATTTTTTTTGGATTGCTCCAATTCTCGCTTCAATTTTTCTAACTTGTGATCTACCTCAACGGTCTGACGATCAAGTTTCTGCTCGATCATTTCTATTCTTGTTGACTGTTCTTCAATCTGTTCTGCCACTTTCAATTTTACGTGTTTTAGCTGGTCCTTGATCTGTTTTAACTCCTCTGTCTGTCGTTCGGACTGTTCCTTGATCTGTTGTTTTAACTCTTCTGTCTGTCGTTCGGACTGTCGTTCGGACTGTTCTTTGATCTGTTTTAGCTCTTCTGTCTATCGTTCGGACTGTTGTTCGGACTGTTCTTTGATCTGTTTTAACTCCTCTGTCTGTCGTTCGGACTGTTCTTTGATCTGTTCGGACTGTTCCTTGATCTGTTGTTTTATTTCAGTTGACATACTAAGCAGAAGTTCCATCATTTTAGCGGTTGTAAACGTGCCTGTGCTAATTTCATTGTCTTCGTCAGCCCCATCAAACTTGAATTCGTCTGGGTTCTTACCTTCGTCAATGAGAGCTTCTCTCAGACGTGCTACTAGTACTTCTTTGTTGCCACTTGTGACAAGGCTTCGTTTCTGTAGTTCTTCTCGTAGCTGAACTACATTCAAACCACACAGTTTTGACATCGTGTTTTTTTTCTATGAGTAGTAATTCGCTAGTCGAAGATCCCACTTCTGACACCAATGTTATAATACTCGCTGTCGTAACCGATTTACGATGCGACGGGTTCAAATCTTCGATTGAATAAAATATTCCAAACAGTTATTAAACTTTATTTACAGAAGAAATCAACTATTATTGTTTATTAAACTTTATTTACAGAAGAAATCAACTAATTGTTTATTTCTAGTAAATTCGCACTAACGCAACAATTAACTTTTAAATCTTTCAAAATCTATCGCTATGACAACGTCAACAAACAAATCAAATATCGCTTTAAATAATTCACCGAATCGCTATTCACAAAATCACGAATTTCACTAATCACGAATATCACTAATCTTCTTGCGACGTGCGCTTATATACTCTTCGCTAGCGTCGTTTCTAGATTCTTCTCGATGGTCCGATTCTAGCATACTCTAGAATGCTCCAGTCACTAGAACATTCTAGAATACGCTAGAATCTAGTGCGTTCGGTAGCACGGTTATAACAATAATATAGTGTTAGGTGGTGGAGTCGAGATCCAGTGTCAATAAAAAAGCACGGAATTTTGACTTGAAATTTTGTAGGTTTATGATGGCTCTTAGATGGTAAGGTAAAAGTTCTGTCCAAATTTTAGGACCTGTTATTTTTATGCTTGTCTGGATTAATTTGAGGCGAGTTTTGTAGATAAAGAAGAGAGTGATGTTTTTAGTGGTTGTAGATTAGATGGAGTTACTAAAGGTATAGAAATTGATAAAGTGAGGTGGGAGAAGATTGTTGATAAATTTAAAAACGAATAAAGCAGAGTAGTAAAGATAGATAAAGTTAAGTGGTAAAATTTTTTTTTGCTAGGAAGAAGGGTTATGTACGAGAATCGGGTTTGAGGTTAAAAATTAAACGTATTAATCTTTTTTGGGAGAGTATTAAGTTATTCAGGTGGCTTTTTGGACTATTTCCCCATAGTGTGATGCAGTAGGTTAGATAAGGGTAGATGAATGTGTGGAAAAGCGTATGTAGAACAGAAAGAGTTGATATTTGATTTTGTAGAAGATGCCTATGAGTTTGTTGATTTTGTCTGAGGTAGTTTGTAGGTGAGAATTCCATAAGAGATTTTCTGTGATGGTGATTCAAAGGAATTTGGTTGACAGGGTGCGGTTTATAGGAACGCCATTAATTAATAGGTTTAGGTTAGGAGCTTGGTTGGTATTTTTGGGCCAAAATGATTTATGATTAGTTTGTTATTGGATAACCAGTTAGAGTAATTTTGGAGTTCAACATTGCTGTGATTTTCATCAACAATTATTGCATTTCTGACAGTCTACATATATATATATAATATATATATATATAATATATATATATGATATACATATATATATGATATATATATATATAATTTAATATTGTGTAAATATATAATAATAAATTATATATATATAATATTATATATATATATATATAATTTTTAGGTAATTTTTATTTTAGAGAAATATTGATTTGGTTAGCTGATTTGTTTGTTGGATTTAGAACAGTTCTTTCCTTTAACCATGACAAAAGTCTTTTCTGTACCACTTTTAGCCTTTAGAATCGCTAATGGATAAGATTAAAGTAAAATGTGTTCTCAGTTAGCTTTTACATTCCAAAATGAACTATTAAGCCAAATTTCAATTCAATCGGATGCATCGATTGAATATATATTGAATTAAGACTTTCAGAAATGCAGAAGATTACAGCATGTTCCGCGAAACAATAATTATATATATATATATATATATATATATATCTATATATATATATATATATATATAATTATTGTTTCAATTATTGCTTCTGTCTAGAACCCGTGAAAGATTTGACAAAATTTGCTATTTATTCGCTACTCCCCTCGTCTACATCTGCTTATTAATCATTACAAGTATTGGTTATTTTCTCATTGCATTACTCAGAGTTGTCAATTAAACACACAGCCTGTATGAATAGTAACGCATCATATACACTGCACAAGACTGGTAAGGTAACTTTAACCATTACACCATTCTACCATTCAATAAGCATTGAATTTAATGTTTGTTACATCTTTATTTTCTCGAATATCTTTATGTTAAACCTTTTTTCTTAATAACTAATAATGAAAATCTAACGCAATCATATATCATCATCTATTAATATTTAAAAAAATATTCTAGATCAACAACCAAAATGTATATAGAAAACAGTAAATAAAAATAAATAAAAATTAAGATGTCATAGTGCTAATTTGAAAATTTCTTGGCATGACTAGCATGTACTTTTTCTAATTCTTGAAGTCGATTTTTAATTATTTCATTTCTTTGGCAAGCCAGGAGTAAATCTTTCTGTGCACCATAGCTCGATCCTGTGTGCGGCTGACCTAGTTGAAGAGAAAATCAACTGTTTGTACTTCATTTCAAATAGTGTGAAAATGAACAAACTAACTTGTAGAAACCGTTGTGAGGTAATTAATCTGTGACATCAGTCCACTTTCAACGTTCTCCAATGCTTTAGCAAACTGGGTGCAGTGTGATTCAACATTTTTGCTTACTGACTTATCTTTGGCCATTTCATTCATAACCACACCTACAATTGTAAAAGGTTAAATATTCTGTTGAATAAAAACGTTTTAAATCAAAATGCTTCTGAACAAGTCAACATTTATCATAAAATGAAAAAATTATAATAAGATCATGATAATTTTATGTTCTGTCAAGTGTCAATAATAGTGTAAGTAATCTGATGTGAATCTATCGATAGTCATCGCTAGGCTATACTTATTTATAAAATCATTTATGCAATAACATATCCACCAACAATAAAAAAAGTAAAACAATTATAAATATTATTATTGTTGAAATTACTATAAGTATTATTATTATTATGATTATGTAACATTCTAATTCTTTGCTATAGGTTCAGTTCAGATTATCAAACTCTTAGGCATTTTTCAACTTAACCTTATGACATTATGCTTACTTGCATATAAACACAAAGTAGTCACTATTCGTATCCCCAATTCCAATTTCAAACAAAACAAATATTTAGAATAATAATTTGTATCCCCCAATTCCAATTTCAAACAAAACAAATATTTAGAATAATTGTTCTTACTAGATGCTATTTTCATTATCAACAAAATATTTATAACTGGGTACTTCACCCATTTTATAATTATCTATTAAATTGTATAATATTTAATAGCTATTTTTTAATATTGTAAAGCAGCAAGTAAAAACTTTGTAAAACTGTCTAAATATCTAACCAACTTAACTAATTGAAGCAAATGTTAACATTTTTTATCTGTACACCGCTGGTTGCAAGTATCCAATTGTTGAATTATCACTGACATGCATCAATTAATTAAAATTTAAATTTAAAAAAATAAATTCAAATTGCACCGGAGAAAGATGATATCATCAATAATATCATCCATAACCAAGAACAAATAACTAGCTCAGTTAGAATTGTCATGTCTCAATAGTTGGCTTGATTCAAGTACCGGTATATACTATATAAAATAAAAATCGACAAATCTATCGGGCGTAAGCAGCTCCGTGTTTAAAAGTTTCAAATATAAATAAAAAAATTTATAAAATGTTACCGCACCAGCAAATTCGAGAGCTTTAGCAATATTTTTCTCAATTTCCTCTAACTGTTGAATTCTGCTCATCTGCTCGCTCGATTTGGCCATGATTATGATTGTAAGGCCGAGATAAAAATTATAATCAATCAAATAAATAAACTCAATTAAATTTTACACTTAACATTCTTATACGATCAAAACAACGTGCGCTCAGTCGTTAAAGATGTTGGCATTCGACTTTATTTATATTAGTGCAAGTTACCAAAAACCCTTTAAAGTTTGTTTTCTTTGCATTTGCTAAACCATAGATATCGAAACTCGTTTATAAAAGCATAAAGAATTTTTACTTAAAATAAGGTTTTATTGCGATATCTTATATAAAATCTCTAAATGTTTGTTTAATTTTTGTTATAATCAAATTTTATTTCATGTAAATAAGTATGAAGCTACATTTGCTCAAAACTTCTGATCAAATGATTTTCAAGATAAGAGCGTCGACGACGACAAATATGACTATAAATATCTTTATTAATTATATCTTGACTATATATATATATATATATATATATATATATAATATACCTATAACGGAAATCAACCAACCTTATCTAACACTGAGCAACCTACAATACTATGCACACAATGAAACCCTAATAATTCAGAACTATAATCTGAATTATACTATAAACATAAAATTAAACTATAATTGTGAATAGCATAGATTAACAAGCGTTTTAATTTTAACTATATATACGTTGTGCATAATGATAAAATATAGTGTTATAGCATGTTTAAATTCTGAAATTATATTAACGTTAATTATAGTGTACAAAAATTTTTTTAAATACTAGCAATTGAATAAATTCTACATGATCAAAAATCATAAAATTATTACGGCCTATTTTACATGGTATAAGAAACGATAAAAAGAAATTTCCTATATATGTTATTACATACATATGATCTTGACTAAAGTGTTGCATATAGGAATGGAAGGGAAATGAAGAGTTGGATCCAAACGTTGACTTAGAAGCAATTTCGTCATCAATCACACTCTAATATTTCTGTAAACAATCAACCGCTGGAGTGGATGCGTGACGTCATTGTTTCTCTTGCTTTCAAAAGTGTGTACCATATACCTTGATTCGACATATATCGATATATGGTGCTAACAATGGGAGAGATAGGATATGGGAATTCCAGTTTAAAATTTTATGTTTGTACGTGAGTGTCGGAGTCGGACGGAGTCGGAGATTTTTAGCCCGAGTCAGAACATTTTGAAAGCCCTGAGTCGGAGTGAGTCGGAGTCGAATTTTTATTTTAGAGGCCAAAGTCGGTATCGGATTTATAATTCCATAAGTTTAAAAAAAATAATTTTTTTCTTGAAATTTTTTAAGATTTTTTTTTTAGAAAATAAATATATGTAGCGATAAGCAATCAATTTAAATACTGAAAATAAATGCTGATAATGTGAATAAAATCACATAATTTTTTCAGTATGTTGTAAAGCAAAAATAATTTTACTAAAAAAAAACAATTACTTTGACTGATGTTTTTATTAATGATAACAAGATGAAATAATGATGCAAAAGTTGACATTTTTTAGTTTGTTTTAAAACGTAAAAATAAAGAAATTTTCTTATGGAAAACAATTACAGAGACTGATTTCAAGTGTTTTTTCAAATATTTTTCATTTAGTAGTAATAATAAGATAAATTTATGATACAAAAGTTGAAAATTTTTTCTGTTTCGGAACCTACAGTCAGAGTCTGAAGTCAGTGTTGAAAATCGGAAATTTTTATCCGGAGTCGGATATTTTTGAGAGGCCAGAGTCAGAGTCGAATTTTTTCGAAGGGCCGGAGTCGGATATTTTTCATCAAACTCTGACACACCGATTCCTACCCTATCATACAGAACAATAGTTTGGAGATTTTGGCGTAGCAGTATATTGTTTATTGAATATTATTTGTTATATATAAAATTATTTATTTTTTATTTAATTTAATCGGTATCTAAAAAGCCGATTATAATCATTCCTCTATGCGATTAAATTATTTAAATTTACAATTTGCGGTATCTATGGTCTTTAAGTTTACTTCGTTGCATTTGTTATATCACATGATTATTCTCGTGATTACAAAGGAACTGTGATTATTCGTATGATGATAAAGTTTTAAATTGATTTTCTATTCTTTAAAAATTTTCTTATCGTTAAACATTTTATTTTTAAAACGATGAATTATATTATTTTGTTATTCTGTTGTCTTACCGGTTCCCTAGGCCTTAAAAGGTAATTTATATCTTTTGAATTTGAATCTAAAGTTCTACTACTAACTAAACTAAACTAAATCTACAGTGGTTCAGCAACAACATTTTTTTCATGTTTGTTGAAATTTTTTGTGTAATGTGAAGTTTTGTCTCTATTGTCCTACATACACAAGAAGCAGCAGTATTTGGTATTATAGCTTAATACTTAATTACATTCCTAAAAGTATGGCAATGACTTTTAGCTTTAGGTCACAAATTTTCCATTTGTGTATGTTTTAATTGAGGAGTTTTTATTTTTATATTTAGATAAGTTTGGTAAAATCTTAGCAATCCCCGAATAAATTGTTTACTTTTTACATATAATAATATTGAAGACCTTTAAATTTGACTCTGCCCATCATTATTTCATGACCGACTAAAAAGCTTTATTTTTTTTAAATTTGTAAATTTTTTAACTAAAGCTCTTCATTTTTTTTTCATTTTGTAATTTTTAAATTTTTAATAATCTAATAACTATCATTATTTTTTATTTTTTAAAAATGTTATTAACAGGAGAACCATTTGTTATTTTATTTACACATTATATTTTCATAAAAAAGAAAACAGAAGTATCTGATAATAGTCAATAGTTAATAAAAAAATAAAGTGTCAATATTTTAGACTATGCAACAAGAATAACGGAATTGAAAATTGCCACAAACCACAATAAGTATATGCACAGTGAGAGAGAGCATGTTGATGTAATCATGCGTACACGTTAAGTATATTTTTGCACAGACATATATGTAAAATGTTTATAATAGGCTTATAGACATGTTCATATCAACAAATACTTTAATTAATTGTCAATATTATGGGAGGCGAACATTATTTACTTTTAAAATGCAATTGTACAAATTTTTGTGACGTATGTTCGAGTGCATGAATTACCATCATTTTTAATTTCTTCATTTTCAATTAACTTTGTTGAATTTTTTGTTGAACTTGGTTGAAAGGACAACTTTAGTTAAGGCACTATCACAAGTATTATGTTTACTTTTTTGTGCTTCTTCCAATAAATAAATAAATAAATAAAAAAAATACACACTAGGGTGGTTACAACGCTATATTTAAAAAAAAAAAATTTCGAAATCTTATCGGAGGAACCCCCTAAATTGTGCCATTTGACTAAAAAATGACATTTGTAAAGTTTTAGCTCAATTGGATAATGCTAACCCGTGCCTCATCGAGGTTGAAATTTCAAAAAATTGGAAAATTTTGAAAAAAAAACGCAGTTTTTGGTTTGTAAAATAAAAACGGTTCACTCTAGAAACATGATTTAAGTTTTATTTTGTTTATTGATTAGTCATTGTATTACTTAAGCATCAAAATAAATAATTAGACTATAAGTAATTCTGTAAAAAACATCAAAACATTGAAATATTTTTAAATTTTAACATTGTAATTATTTTGTCATCTTTTAAATAATGCTATGATGAATATATAAAACATCGTTCACTTTTACCTTAATATGTTTTAGGAAATTTGATGAAATATTCTTGCGTCCACTAATACTGATATTTATCTTTTTGCATAATCTACACTTTCCGGTTAATTTTGCATCACTGTTGCTATTTACGACATCAATATCTCTTTTACCGAATTCAAATAATCTGAATACTCCTTTGGTAAACCAATTATTTTCAGTCTCATTATCATTTGCCTCGCTTCTTGCTGCCATAATTACGAATTTTTAAATAAAAAAAAAATGCAAGACAGGAAACAAATTTTTTAGAAATTAGGAAGGTGCGTGAAGATAGCCACAAAAATAATTTGCCACAAAAATCGTAAAATATACTCATTCCAAAATTCAATATAATTGCAGACATTATTTAGAAAATGTATTAATATAATATACTATAATGCATAAAAATAATATAAATATATATTTTAAGTCATACTATACACTTACGCTTATACACGACAAACAGAAAAAAATTAAATAAAAAAAACTAGCGATCGGAACTGGCTGTAACTTATAACACAACTCGATTAAAAAATTTTTTCAGATTTTCATATGCAGATAAAAAATATTAAGTGACAAGTATTTAGTATTTAAAAAAATTTAAATACTAAATACTTGATTGAATTGGTATTTAAATACCCGATTTTCAAGCGGTATTTAAATACTTTCTTAAATACCGAATTCGGTATTTAAATACTATTTAAATACTTTGGGTATTTAAATACTGCACAACACTGTCTATCTTTGACCTGACAAGGGATTTATATAAGATTAAAAAAGTGGGTTTAGGTAATTTCATAAAATGTCTATTTATCAATCCTAGAGTTATATTACACTTATTAATTGTATTATAAATGTGTTTATGAAATTTCATGTCTGGTTCAAATATCACCCCCAAATCTTTAACAAATTCCACATTTTCAAGAAGTAAACCATTCATAGTATAAGATCTCTTACCACATGCTCTACGCCCATAATTCATAACGACACATTTATCCACATTCACCCCAAGCTCCCATTTCACACTCCACCCATAAAAAACATCCAGACATGCCTGAAGGTCCTCCATGTCATCATTAGAAGAGATACACTTGAACAATTTAGCGTCATCAGCATATAGATACATCCCAACATTAGAATCATTCTTACATAAATAACAAATATCATTCACATAAATAACAAACAAAATTGGTCCCAACACACTGCCCTGTGGAACCCCACTAATCACTTTAAAATTATCAGACAGACTTCCATTCACACACACTGCAAATGTTCTACCACTAAGATAATCGGAAATCCAATCAACCACAATCCCATTCACACCATATTTGCATAATTTTTTAATTAACTTGTGATGAGGAACTTTATCGAATGCTTTTTCAAAGTCTGTATAAATCACATTAATTTCCTTGCTTTTATCAATCGCAACACTCCAGTCATCTACCATTTTAAGCAACTGCATCGCAGCTGATTTATGTGGCATAAACCAAAACTGTCTATAGTCAAATAAATTATTGCTAATAAAATGAGACATAAGATTATCTTTGACTAATGTTTCCATCACCTTACAACAAACACAACAAAGAGATATTGGTCTATAATTTGTTACATTGCAGACATCTCCTTTTTTATAAACTGGCACTATTATACTGTGTCTCCATTCATCAGGTATCATACGAAGCTTTATTGACATATTAAATAAGCTACATAAAAAATGTGCAATCTCTTCACTACATTCATATAATACTCTGTTGAATAATTTGTCTGGCCCAGCTGATTTATACTTATTAATTTTTTTAAGTTTAGATAAAACTTTCTTAACTGTAACAGTTATATCGTCCACCGATGAAGTAAAATACCTACTACCCATATTAGTATCATTAACATCATTCACAGATAAATTGAATACACTATAAAAGTTTTGCCCAAATAAATTAGCGTTTTCAGTGTCATCATAAACATTCAAAACCTTGCCCTGACCATCCAACTTATGAAGGACATCAATATCCCCTTTATTTTTTCTTGCTTTATTAATGTGCTGCCAGAACACTTTTGGATTGTCTTTTATTTTTCTTGAAAAATTAATCATAAAATAAGTATTAAATTGAAAAATATTTTTTTTAATATCATTTTTTATTTTTTATATTCATTAAAGATTATACAACTTTTAGAAGTGACATATTTTTTCCATAATCTATTTTTTATATTGAATCAGATTTATAAGGTTTCTGGGAAATTTTAATGCAAATCCATTATTATGACACCCAACATCAATTAAAGGTATAAATTTATTTGTAGCATTGTTCAGTACAGTACAGAAGTACCTCGAGGCTTCATTGAGTTTCACAACATTATAAACTTGTTTAAATACACACATTTCTATACTTAAATCAGTTCTGACATAAACTCTCATCTTATCATACTCACCTTTGTTAAAAATATGTTTTTGCTTGGCACGTTTTCTAACTAAATTTCAAGTATGTCTCAATATGAAGACCAGAACAATATGATCACTATTCCCAACTGGGGAGTTATAATCCATGTTGACAACCACATCCTTGTCATGAACCAGAATCATTTTTGTGAAGTACAAAACCTAGTAACTTTAGAAACCAGCTGATGTAAATACAGATCCCTCACACAATTCAAAAACTTAGATTCCATGCTCCTAACACCTCTTGGTGTTAACACTAAATCCCAGTCAATATTAGGTAAATTAAAATCATCCACGTAAATTTTTCGTCCCTTATAACTTTAATACTACTCCATAGTTGAAATTTATCTAGCACTTCAGCTATTCCACTGTAAATACTATTAGCTTTACCATCATCCAGTTTCAAAATGGCTAACTTGACCTATTTTTCTGCATTTTTAAAAATCAAGTCTTGATAATCAATCCCGGATATTTTTTTACCATCAAAATGCAACACCCAATCATCATTTTTTAAATGATTAATCATATGCCTTTCCATTTTTTGGGCTTCTGACATTGTAGCTCTATAAACCTCAGATCTGGATGGTGCTTGCACATTAACACCACATTCAGATAAATTTTTGCAAACTTTTGCTGATCTCTTAATACTTAGTTTTGACTTCTTAACTAAGTTAACAACAAAAGTGGTGTTCTCATATTTTCTCTTTGTTTTTTTGTCTGGCGGATTATAATCAGAATCTTGCTCATCATCTTGTTCATTGTTTCCTTTATTGTCATCACTGACCTCTACTGTATCTGTTTCAGCTATGATAGTTTTTTTCTTGCCAGCTTTAGATGGATGTACTTTAACTATTTTTGATGTGCAATATACGCGCATGCGTATATGACAGAAGTCCTCTTTTTGAACCATATCTCACTCCGCATATATGTGGCTAGCAAACTTCAGTTTCATAAAATAGCATACAAAAATCAAATGACCATTTAACTTTAGAAATACCAGTATTCTTTTGTTGGTCCATTTTTTCGCAGTCTGACTTATTTATCTGATACTCGCAGCTTTGTTACTCTGAACCAGACTAGCCGACTTTTTTCATCCTTAGACTTTCCATCAAGCAATTCTAGGGTTTTCTTGACATTGTCTTTAATTTTGCTTTAACGAATTGGAGAGTAGCATATGGAGATCAGCGAATGAAAATTTGGCTAAACCTAGCGCTCTCTGATTTGCATGTTGTGAGGAGCAGCCGATAACCTGTCAGAAATATTTAGGACATTTAGTAAACAAATCATCTCATCTTCCTATCTGAAAAAATACTTTTCAACTTTTATATAAATTGTGTTTCAATTTCTGGTGCTGAAAGCTGATAATAATCACTCAAATAAAGTAAACAAATGAAAGCTTCTAACTCGTCTTCCGTTACATCAAACAGTAGTGCTGAAATACGGGCATATTCAACAGTGCATTTTTGAATTTGTCTCACAAAACCCTGGTCAATAATCAATCTGAATGCCTAAACTGGTGTCGTTATATTACAGCAATAGGCTGTTACTCTCGGTTTAGCTAAAAAGACGTTTTGAGACTGAATTCTACCTCGCCATTCACATTGTGGTGTGACTATCCATTGAGTTCCATCTTTAGCTATCAGTGATGTACTTTTTTCACCGTTATTTTCATTCAATCCATTTTTACCAACCAACTTGGTTTCATTATCACTGTCGTCAGTACTGCTTTCATCGTTTTCTTGACAGGATTCAATATCTTCGTCAGAATCAAAAGCAGCTCTTACTTCACAGTTAGAAACAGAATCACTTAACCTCAGAACCACTCTCTATGTCCAATATATCTTGCAATTTGGCCAGTGCTTGTGCTGCAGTCATGCACTGTGGACGGCTCTTTTGAGGCTGTGTGACTGGTTTTTTCACTGTAGAATTCTATGGTGTGATCCTTTCATGCGTTTAGGGCAAGGTGTTGCAGGGATCGGTTTCGATGTTGTCTTGGTAGTGGGCGACAGGTCTTGTGTCCCTCTATCAGTTGGCATTGATCCTCCTCTTTTCTTCTGAGAAAAAAATAACATGAATTGTTACTACAAGGATATAAAAGGTTTTCAAAGTATATTGATTATTATTATTATTATTAATTATTATTATTAACGTGGTTTAAAGTGGTTCAGAAGATTATAGTCTGTGTAAGAACCACTACTAATTAGATCTCCTAATATCCTATCTGTCCTAGTTTGGCTTTGAAGCTGTTTATCCTGGTCTAGGTTAACATAAACATCTTCAAAAAAATCCATTAGGTTAGATAGACAGGATCGTCCCTTCATAAACCATGTTGGCTGTCATTGATTATGCAATTAGAATTTAAGTGCTCGACTATATTCCTTTTGACAATTTTTTCTAATACTTTACATATAATGCAAGTTAAACTTACTGGTCTGTAGTTACTAGTTTCGCTTGAACAATGGCGGGACGATAGCGTTCCTCCAATCTCTTGGTATATCTCTTGATCTTAAAGAGTCATTAAATATTTTGCACAATGTTGCTCCTACTTCATATCTTATTTCCTTTAAAAATTTTGGGTGCAGCTCATCTATTCCTGGAGTTTTATTCTCTTTGAGACTGCTTAGTATTTCGATAACCATCTCTTCTGTTATGTAAACACTTGCAAGCATACTTTCTTGGTTTCCCCCAAACAATTTTTTTGGCTTTGTTTTGTTATGTTATTTGTATTTTCTTTTGTCATCACTGATCCAAAGTAGTTATTGAGCAACTCAGCAATTTCTCCTCCTCCCTTACAATCTTGTCTTGTTTTGTTGCTTCTCCGGATAGTCGGTATAGTCTCTTCAACAACTTTATTCATACAGGACACAAAGGATTTCCATTTATTTTGCACTCCCAAATCTTTCAATCGCTCTGCCAAGTTCATCTCTGATTTTATTTCTGACCTTGTCGTAGTTTGCTTTGAAATAATTGTAGCGCTTTGAATATGCTTCGACTTCTTTTTTCTGCTCTAAAACTATGTTAAATCTAAGTATCTTATGATCGCTCGTTCCAAATTCTTCCAATCCTAACTTCTTCTATTATGTTCTCGTCTGTTGATATTATTAAATCTAATGTATTTTCTTCCCTTGCTGGCTCCATCTATCCAGAAACAGTTCGTCCGCCAGCTTTTTGCCTTCTCTATGATTCCAGTCAATATGGTGGTTAAAATCTCCCATTATTACGCAAGACACTTCCGTGGCATTTCTGATCAGTTTACGTAATCCGCTGTCATTCTCTTTTGTTGAATCTGGTACTCTGTAGCATACTCCTACACGCACGCAGTGTTTCAGTTTCGTTTTTTATATCACACCAAACGGTTTCTTTAAATTTGTCGTTTTTCAGGTCTTTTCTTTCTAGCGCAGCCAGTTTTTCGTTTATATACAATAACACTCCACCGCCCTGTCCTTTATCTTTACTGTGTTCCCTGTCTTTTCTAAACATTACGTTTCCGTTCGGTTCTATCTCATATCTTGAATCGATTCTTTTGCCCATGATTCAGTTATACCTATGATATCGGGTTGTTCATTTTCTATACATAACTCCAGTTCTGTTCTTTTATCAATATTTACAATACTTCTTGTATTTACACAGAAACATTTCAATATTTCAGGTTTGTTTTTTTTCTTTTTTATTGTTGCTTTCTCTGCGTTGTTACCCGTTGTATTTAATATTTTTTCAGCTTTACAATTCTCATGTCTCCTGGTAGACCTTTCACCTTGAAAATAAATTCCCACGATGTTTCTTTGCTTTATCTAATTTTTGACTCCTTCACTAGCTCTCGGCATTGGTCTCTTTCTGTTTATGTCATATCGTGCGTCACCGATATCCTTCTAAAATTTTCGTCCGCATTTCGGAGTTTTGACAAATTTTCTAAAACTCTATTTTTCAGTGTTCCATCAAGAAATTCTATCAAAAGAGTTCTTCTATTTTCTTTTTTTTTTAATTTTTCCACGTTTCAATCTTGCCTTGTTTTGTTGCTTCTCCTGTTAGTCGGTATAGTCTCTTCAACAACTTTATTCATACAGGACACAATGGTTTTCCATTTATTTTGCACTCCCAAATCTTTCAATCGCTCTGGCAAGTTCATCTCTGATTTTATTTCTGAGCTTGTTGTAGTTTGCTTTGAAATAATTGTAGCGCTTTGAATATGCTTCGACTTCTTTTTTCTGCTTAAAAACTATGTTAAATCTAAGTCTTATGATCGCTCGTTCCAAATTCTTCTCCTACCCTAACTTCTTCTATTATGTTCTCGTCTGTTGATATTATTAAATCTAATGTATTTTCTTCCCTTGTTGGCTCCATCAATCCAGAAACAGTTCGTCCGCCAGCTTTTTGCCTTCTCTATGATTCCAGTCAATATGGTGGTTAAAATCTCCCATTATTACGCAAGGCACTTCTATGGCATTTCTGATCAGTTTACGTAATCCGCTGTCATTCTCTTTTGTTGAATCTGGTACTCTGTAGCATACTCCTACACGCACGCAGTGTTTCAGTTTCGTTTTTTATATCACACCAAACGGTTTCTTTAAATTTGTCGTTTTTCAGGTCTTTTTTTTCTAGCGCAGTCAGTTTTTCGTTTATATACAATAACACTCTGCCGCCCTGTTCTTTATCTTTACTGTGTTCCCTGTCTTTTCTAAACATTACGTATCCGTTCAGTTCTATCTCATATCTTGAATCGATTCGTTTGCCCATGATTCAGTTATACCTATGATATCGGGTTGTTCATTTTTTATATATAACTCCAGTTCTGTACTTTTATCAATATTTACAATACTTCTTGTATTTACACAGAAACATTTCAATATTTCAGGTTTGTTTTTTTTCTTTTTATTGTTGCTTTCTCTGCGTTGTTACCCGTTGTATTTAATATTTCTTCAGCTTTACAATTCTCATGTCTCCTGGTAGACCTTTCACCTTGAAAATAATAAATTCCCACGATGTTTCTTTGCTTTGTCTAATTTTTGACTTCTTCACTAGCTCTCGGCATTGGTCTCTTTCTGTTTGTCATATTGAGGGTCACCGATATCATACTAAAATTTTTGTCCGCATTTCGGAGTTTTGATAAATTTTCTAAAACTCTTTTTTTCAGTGTTCCATCAAGAAATTTTTTCAAAAGAGGTCTTCTATTTTCTCCTTTTTTAATTTTTCCACGTCTGAACACACTTTTTATATCCCTATTCTCGCATGGAACCTTTCTGACAACTGTGGTCCATGTCTCTTTATTGGCATCAATCGTTTTCCTGATGTTTTCTTCATCTGTATTTTTTTTATTTTTTGCACTTTCTCTTCAATTTCGTCGATACGTGACTTCTGTTTTTTAAACTGCTTTTTCACTACTTCATTTTCGTTTGTTGATTTTTTATTGTTTAGCAGCTCTACAAGCTGTTCGAGTTTATCGAGTTTATCATGCTATTCACTATATTTTCTATCTAATTCCTCCAATTTACGGCATGTTTTGCAGTTCGAGTCCACAAAACATTGACTCACGCCGTACATTTTCCGCATTTCTTCATACCTTTGTACATTTTCTAGAGACTTCCAAAATTTTTGACACGTGCGCTTAACTAACCTTGTTTTTGCTTATCATCTCTCCTCCAACTATTCTTTCTTGAAAATCTTCGCTTTTTTTCTGTCAAAAAATCTTTTTCAACAATGTGAATAATAATAATCCTAATTCGATTAAAAATTTTCAATTTAAACGATTTTATCGCAAAAAATTTATCGCAAAAAATTTGTTTACAACCGACCGGCACCATAGAAACATGATGCTCAACATAGACAGCAAACATAGAAAATAGTTTCACTTATTATCGCTCATTTTGCATTACTAAAAATGTATACTGTAATTTGTACTAAAAAAGCGACTGAACAAATAAGCAATGATAATAACAACGACACTATTGAGTAGACAGAACTGACAGCTAATCTAGACCTTAAATTTAAATTAAAATAGACAACATCGAAAGCAGTCAAACTTTTCAGAACATTACCATTGAAAAAGAAAGCAATCATTCACCAATTTTAGAAACTTAGACTCATTTGATTTGTCTTATCCATTAGTTAATCTATAATTCCAGTCAATACTTGAAATGTTGAAATCGATAATATGTTTCGCGTCATTAATTCACATAAAATTATTACAAAGACAAAGAATTTTCGATTATTAGCTATATCCGAGCTTGCACCTTTATAAACAACAAGGATTAATACAGCCCAACCCTCCCATAAAAGTTCAAACATAAGTATTTTTTGAAATCCACCCCCAAATTTATTAATTGTAATTTATACTCAGATTTAACATAATAAATTACATAAAAAACATACATGTTTCATTTCAATCTGTCATGTCATTTTTCATTACTACAGGATTCCACTGCTTCGATTTAAGTCAGCAGAACGTGTTCTCCGAGAGGTTGGCTCTCCAGTTGATGCCATCAGAATCAAATATTTGGAAAATGGTTTCTCTAGATCTGTTCCTGAACCTCTCACTAATTATTTAGACGTTCGTATTATTTGGCTATTTTGTCTTATCAGTGTTGGAGTATCATTGGCATTGAATTCATTCAATATTTCAACCTAGCTTTTTTCTAATTGATATCACCACCTCTTATGATTTAAACTTATTTTGTATGATTTTATTACTTTGTTCTGTTTTTTTTATTATTATCGGCGTGCCTTTACCTAATTTACCTAAATGGAGACACCTCGTGAACACGGCAACACGGCTTTGCTGTGTTCACAAGGTGTCTCCATTTCAAGCGATCATGAGCAAGTTACCAGGCCGAGTAAGGATCGTAGTTGATGAGGGACAGGTCCTTCACTGTGCGGATCCATGACTGTCTTGGGCGGCCACGCGATCCAGTCCGGTGGCGCTCGGTCTATGACAGCTTCTAAAGCCCGGTAATTATCCTTCATGGGACTGCATGAGCTGTGTGACCAAAGAAGTTTAGACGACGCCTGAACAGGAGTGAGGAAACGGAGGGCTGCTGTTCTTTTCACCTCAACGTTGGTGACGCGATCGCGATAGGTCAGACAAAGGATCTTGCGCAAGCACCATTGATCTGTAGCGTCTAGCTTTTTCAAATGAGCGCCAGTAGTTGACTGACAACGCCTCGCATACATAGACAGCACGGGGATGATGTATGCGTTATGCAATCGAACTTTGGTCGTCACCGAAATGCCCGAGTGCCATATACCACGATCCAGGGACCTCATACACGCGCGAACAATGATGATTCGACGAGTGTATTTGGGAGCCGAGATATGGAAAAGAATCCACAATCTGTACGTCATTACCCAGCACAGAGACAGACGCGGGTGGCGGATCGCCCAGAGAGTTTGCCTGGATTTCTCAACCAAAAGGCTTTGCCTCCTCGGACATAGTAGCCAACGACAGTAAGAGAACATCTCGCATATCAGCCAGGCAAATGATGAGGTCGGTGGGCATGGTGAAGTGAAACGAGTCCTCAAGTGCGCTGTAAAAGAGATCTTTGGTCTGAGCCGTCGCTTTTTTAGTTGGCGCGTAGCAGACAATCACTGACATCCATATCGATGTCTGAAACGAGCAACCATCAGCCTTTCACTGATCAGGTGCCATTCAATCGGTTCACTTTTTAGTTGTTCACTTTTTATAGAAAACAGTTTGTTTGTAAATTCAGAATTTAGTTACTCACTTTTTATCTGTTATTTTAAACTAATTTTTTAATATGTCTCAACAAATAGCATTATTCAATATTAATTTTAATATAATTAGCTGTATTATTATTTTTGATTAAATTTAGACTACAACTAATGAATGACCAATCCAACTTTACTCTGACTTGAGGAAATTCTTGATAACATAAAAATATTTAATTTGATTTTTAAGAGGTTAGGTCTCAAAGCGATACTAACCATTTAATTTATTTGTAATCTAACTTGTTCTGGTTTGCACACACAATTTGGCATTTCGATTGTTCTGCCAAGTTTATTAACTTGAGGTACAATTATAACATCTCTCGCAAGTCCATCCTTCAGTTTATTAATTTTATGTTTCTAATTTTTTGTAATTCATTCATTGCTCAATTTAGTTAATAATGAAGTATTTAATTTTCTTGCATTATATTCTACACAATACAGGTCCAATATTATGGGATAATAACAATCGGTACACCACCACAATCCTTCAAAGTGGTCTTTGACACTGGCTCCTCAAATTTGTGGGTGCCATCAAAAAAGTGCAAGTGGACTGATATTGCTTGCTGTATGTTTTGTTGCTTTCATTATTTTATCTTGATCAAGTGTATAATTAAAATTATCTTTTAGCAAATTTATTAATTAAGACTTGCAAAGCTTTTACACACTTGTTTTTTAACATCGGATTAAGACTGTCAGGCTGTCAGGTAGGCAACTATTTGAGAAAATCAAAGCATTGCTTAGTTTTTGCTTTGATTTCTCAATTCTCTAACCATGGTTTTCAAGTTGTGGTTGAGTTTGCTGAGTTTGTATACAAAATTTTTCATTAGATGATCAAAAATTAACTTACATCAACTCCAATCAGGGATACACAACAAGTATGATGCAACCAAGTCATCCACCTACAAATACAATGGGACCGACTTTGCAATCCATTATGGAACTGGCAGCTTGACTGGTTACTTGAGTCAGGATGTTGTCAATGTTAGTTCAACTTCTATTTATATTTCACCTGCAAGACCAACAACATTTTCAAATGTTCATAGGAATGCAGCTGAAACACTTTTTTAAGGTTGTGTAAATAAATTGAATGATTTAATTATCTTTAGATTATAATTCATATCTCATTTTTAGTCTTTAAGAAATCAGAATAAACCAAAATAAGTGTTAAAGCATATTATAAGCTTAAAAAAATAAATTAAATAAATATGAAAGAAATGCAAAAACCTTCAGACTATCAAAATGTGAAATATTTATTGAAAAAGAAGAAGATCAAGCCACTCAAATTATTAAATTAATAAAAAAATTAGCCCTGGAGAACGACCAAATAAAGCTTTAAAAATAATAAACAAAAAATAGCCATAAATGGTTAAAAAAACTAGTGAGGATTGAGAAATAAATGCTACTAATTTAAAGGCAGTATGTACCCGTCAATGATATATTGTATTGGTTTCTTTGTATCATTGGCAATTTCATTAATTGATGTTAAAAAAATTTTTCATATTACATTCTTAAATTACGAACAACAACAATACAGGTTGGAGGTATTGATGTAGTCGATCAGTTGTTTGCAGAAGCAATAACACAGCCTGGCATTACTTTTGTGGCAGCCAAATTTGATGGCATATTAGGTGAAACTTCAAAATGCTTTTATCCTAGATGTCGGAAATGTTTGCGACGTGAATTTGACCTACAAAATTTTGATCAATTTGATGTTCACGCAAATTAATAATTATTGATACTTTTAGGCTTGGCTTACCCTAGCATTGCAGTGGATGCAGTGTTGCCTGTCTTCAACAACATGATCAAACAAGGACTGCTAGAGAAGCCTGTGTTCTCTTTCTATTTGAACAGGTGAATTAGAGTTTATCTAATGAAAATAACTTTAATAGTAATAATAACAGTATTAAATGTAATATATTAATTATTATATTATTCTTCTATCGAAACTTCTCGCTAAATTTATACATTAAAAACTTGAATCATGTTAATGATTAATTAAATAATAAAATATTGATACTTGCCGAACATGGGGTTGCAGGGACGAGACGTCATCAGATGGCGGTGAGATTATATTTGGAGGAAGTGATCCAGATCATTATGAAGGCAACTTTACTTACGTTGATGTTACAAGGAAAGCTTATTGGCAGTTCAAACTAGACGGGTTAATTTAGAGCATTATTTTCCAATTTCTTTGGCGCCATGCCCCACCAAACATTTCTTGAAATTCTCATACTCTCTAAAAAAATTGTGTAACATATTTATACCTTAACTTAAATATTTTAATTTACATGGTAAAATTGTATAGGTGTCTGGAGAGTTTTATTTTTAAGTTTTCAAAGTTATAAAGTGCAAATGAAAACACAAAATTAATTTTCATTATTACATTTTTTTATGAAAATTTGACTAAATTTTATTTATTTTTACGTTGGCCACTTGTAAATAGCATATGATGTTAAGTGGAATCAATTTCTTTTCTGTATTTTCAAAATATTAAGTAATAAACATTGTGTAAAAAATATTAGAAGGTTTTTATCTTGAGATGTAGTGTTACCTATTTTCAAAAGAAGGAACATTTACTTAGCAAAAACTCCCTTTTGTCAGTGTATCTCACGAATGCCATGAACACCACTTACTAACTTTCAAAGTTGTTTGCTTATTTGCTCTGAGTATATTATACTTTCTAACTTGTTAAACTGTTTTATTGTATGACTTTTCTTATTTTTTTTATTTCATATGTTCATCTGCTAACAAGATTTTTGAAAAGAGGCATTGCATTCAATCTTTTTCAAAACGATAGTGAGAAATGATGTTGAGGGTTTGATGATGTTTTTTCCTTTAGCGTGTTTTTCCAGGGCATCGAACCGGAACTGAATCGAAAACCGTTAGAAACCGAAATTTTGCTCGGAACAAAAACCGTAGCCAAACCGAAATATTGTTTGCTAGTTTAACAGAAACCTAAAACCCTAACAAAATAAATTGCAAATTGATGTTAAACTATTTATGTTGAATTCAGAAACAAAATATTTAGATAATATTTCATCTTTTAAAATTCTATGTTAATTTTTATTATCTTTGAAAATTGATTATCATTTTTTTCGATTGTTTTTCCGACCGAGTTCACCGATCATTTAAAATCTAATATAATAGGAGAAATTTGAGATCAAGTACAATCATCTTTAAAATGTTTAAAGTATCAGTAAAACCTCCGGAAAGACTGGTGGCGAACCAGGGAGAAAATGTGACGTTGCAATGTGCCATCAAAAATACTAAATCATCAGTTACACAAAAGTGAGCCTGGAAAGACCTGTTTCTGGATTTAAATTTATCCTCAGAGACTACAGAAGTGGTTTAAATGAAAACATTATAGAAGATATATTAATTATCAGAAGAAACTTTTCATCTTTTTTGAAACAATCTTATGTTTATGAGGGATTTCAAAGTATTTTTGTAATGATTTTTTTAATTTGTTGAAAAAAGTTAGAAACGTACTCTGACAACATATAAAAATCGTTTTTGTTATTGATTTCTTATTATTCACAAGTTGTAAATTTTAATTCAAATTGACATTGTGGTGATAGTGGGGACCGTTGCGTTTAACTAACTATGCATGAAAAAATTAAGTTCTGGAGCGTAACCGAAAACCAAAAATAAACGATATTATTTCAGGAACGAAAGCCGGAACCAAACCGAAATTCGTTTTGCGGATTAAACCAAAACGAAAAAATTTCGGTTCGATACCCTGTTTTTTTTGCATGTTAGAATAACGAAGAAAATGTTATAACGCAGTGTTTCTTAAATTGGCGATAGCGCCCACTTGTGGGTGCTGAAGTCTAATTGGGGGCGAATACAAGTTTTGGCAAAATTTGATATTTTTAGAAATTTTATTGTTATGTATTGATCATTTTTGTTGGGATTACAAAAACCATATTTTTAAACCAGTTAAAATTTTATTCCATGCTAACCTGATACTCATCAACGTTATTGTCAATTCGTAAACGAAACTCTAGATCTTCTAGGCGCAAAGAAATGTATTTGCAAATTTTTAAAAAAGCAAAGAATACAATTTTTAAAAAATGGCTAAAATGATCAGAATTTTTATAAAATGTATACAAAATATTGATAAAATTGATATAACCAAAATTTCTTATTTAAACTTCAAGTTTGATACATTTTTAAAACTGTTACATCACGTTAATATAAATCAAAATATAATCCAAAGTGGGGATAGATTTTTTTATGATATTTATTGCGAGTACGAGTGGGCCGCACTACTAATAAATTCAAGGGCACATATATATATATATATATATATATATATATATATATATATATATATTGTGAACTGGTGGAAGAAATAAGTTTGAGTACCATTAATGCAAATTAATTAGAAAAAATTGCTTCTCATTTTTTAATTGAACATTTTGAAGAATCCAAGTGAACAAGAAATCAGCAGAATGTTCAAATGAAAACAATAACAAGAAGGTGGAGGGCTTATATTGTAATGGTGGATGTCAGGCCATAGCAGACACAGGCACGTCACTAATTGTGGGCCCCAGTGAGGAAATTCGCAACTTGAATTTGGAGATTGGAGCTTTGCCAATCATCAAAGGAGAGGTTTGTGTCTACACTTTGTGTTTATGTATAATATATATATATATATATATATACATACACACACACATTCATACATACATATTGTGTGTGTTTGTGTGTGTGTGTGTGTGTGTGTGTGGTTCACCTTTCTCATTTTTCGCATACAATTGTATATTCCAGGCAATCATTGACTGTGGCAAAATTGATTCACTGCCCCCCATAACATTTGTCATTAATGGAAAGCCATTTGTTCTTAATGGAAAGGATTACGTTATTGTTGTAAGTGCAATTTCCTTATTTTTATAGACACCTTCTGCCTTTATTTTACTTTGAAATTTAAATATTTGTTATGAAGTTTTGACATATTTTTGTTCTTTGATTTCATCAAGAGATCAAAGACAAATATGTGTTCAAAAGTATAAAATATCTTACAGATGAGCTCCTTTGGCAAGAAGGTGTGCATCAGTGGCTTTCTTGGAATGGACATTCCCCCACCTGCTGGTCCCTTGTGGATTCTCGGAGATGTTTTTATTGGCAAATTTTACACGGAATTTGATTTCGGAAAAGATCGAATAGGATTTGCTGCATCTAAAGAAATTCAAACTGATTATATTGGATTACCCAAATACAACCACTTCAGAGCTTTCGATGAACTCTAATTGTTTAAAACTTTTCCAAACATTACCTAATTTTTATTCTCAACAACAATTTTTACCACTAACTTTTAAATAAAATTTCTTTTTTATTTTTAAAATTTTCTCTCCCATACATAATTGCGCGATACAGATATTCTTAACGTTTAAATAGTTTAACAATGTTTAGAAAAAGATTTGTGATTCAACTGACGTGCTATTTAAGCAGAATCTTGGCCAAGTGTCTCTGAGGCTTAAGGAAGGTCCCTCAATGGTTATTTTTTATATAGAGTCAGTGGCGGATCTAATAAAAGTCAGAAAAAAGACCGTCTTGTGTTTAAAATCGACCGAAAAAAGTCATAGCCATACTACCCCAAATATTGGCCTCTTGTGAAAATTTTTGCCACCCGTCAAAATTTAAACATTTTCAAAATTTTGGATTCCGCGTCAAAGTTCCGCCACTGTATAGAGTTAAGGTTTTAATTTAAAAACTCTTCATAGAAATTTTGAGTTTAAATTGCCGTAAATTTACCCTCTTAACAAGTTGAAAGTTGTTATTAAAATATGGTAGACTTTCATGTGAATAAGCAAACAAGTTTCAAGCTCCTTCACAAAATTTCTGGCCGAACCAGGTAATCTGTGCCGTGATGGTTTTTAATTTTTTATGAAGTTAAAAATATTGTTCCAGTCAAATGTAAAAAATTATTTTATTTGGTTTTAGAGATTTCAGTAATTGAATATTTAATCTTTGGTTTTAAAGGAATTTTGTGGTACGATAGGTTTTTCGTTAAAATGTGCACAAATAAAATTCAATATTTACATTGTTTCGTCATAACTAGATGCTTGTTGGACACGATCAGTAGATTATTGTTTGAATTATTTAATAAACCAAAACTACTTAATTTGGATGGGCGGCGAATTAGCTCAGATGGTAAAAGTCTCATGTTTCGCGCTGTTATTATGCGGTGGCCTGGTTTGAATGCTGTCTGTCCGAGGACTCAGACGCCATGTGTGCGTGTGATGCAGTACTTGCGCGTCGTGGGGTGTGGATGGGTGCTTAATACGTCGTGTGGTGCCGACCGTACAAACTTATGACAAAAATAATCTGAGTGTACAATGATACGTATGTCAGAGAGAACTGTATGAAAAACAACCAAAAGTAAATGTATTAAAATTTTTTAATTAAAAGGATAAAACTAAAAAAAATTTCATTAGAAATAAATGTTACAGGGCTGATTAAAGTTAAATTTTAAAAAATTATTGAAAATGATCATAGGTAATATGACTACATCTAAAAACGTTGCTATTTTTAATCAAACCGAAGCTCCGTAAAATACAAATAGCTGAAGTTATACAATGTTTCGAGTTGAACGTTATCAGTTAGTTGGTCATTCGGCGTTCTGTGGTTTTCTCTATTTTTTATTAAAATTTTTTTACAATTTTGAATGAAAAACACATTAAAAGAATGTTGATTTACAACACTGGAAACAAGAAGATGCAGAGGAGATCTGACACAGGCATACAAATTGATTACCAAAAAAGAAGAAACACCGTTTACTATATTTTTCAACTGGAGAATAGAATAGGATAGAAGCTCTCAAAAAAATAGAAAGTGCCGTCAAGCTAATATTCTTTAGCAGTAGGGCGTTAAACACCTGGAATGATCTAAGTGATGAGAAGGTCTCCGTGGAATCAATCAGCATTAAACAATATTAACAATAAAATAATAACTTTTATGTTAACGACGTTTTTAGTTAATAAACTTATCCTGCTATAATAAGCAACCACATTTACTTAAATTAACTACTTAGTAATTTTTGGGCATTCATGTATGTAATTAAATTTATAACACGTTAAGATTAGTTTCATTTACTTTTATATATACATCAAAATGTCCATATTTTCAACAACAGAAAACAAAACCATTTGCGTTTTTCACTAAATAAAGCTTAAAAACTTGAAAATATTTGGCATTTAATTTAATAAAATTGAAAAAAATTGCACAGACTAGTCTAGCCCAACTGATCTGATGAAAAGGTGTGATTACTAATAAATAAATTAATGATTATTTTGATCCAAGTGCGATAAAATAGCCGCATCGCGCTAAAACGCAGTTAAGCTGCAAAAAAAAATTAGTAAAGACTCATTAAAATTTGGATGTCAGAAAATGAGCTTTTAATTAATTAATAATTTTTTATTCATTTATTTATATTTTTTATTTATTTATCTCGAAAGAGAGAAAGAGAGAGAGAGAGTCACTGTAGTTGCGTGCAGAAACAGCATAACGAAAACTCATGTTAATATGTTCTAAGAAGTTTATTGACATTAAGCATACCAATATTTAAATCAAACAAAAAATGAAAAAAGATAAATACAAATTTGCAATTGAAAAAAATTTAAAAAAATAATAATGCAAATAGTTATCTTAATTAAAAAATTAAAAAATATAAATGCAAATAATATTTTCCATAAATAAAAAAATATGAATGTAAATATATATGTTCAATAAAAAAATGAGACAAAGTATGCCAATATTTACATTAAAAAATTTGAAAAAAAACAAGATTACAAATCAAAGGTAATGAAAACGTTTCTAAAAAAATTATAGAATAGAATGAATGTTTTTTTCAAATACAACCGGTTCTTAAATAGATTAATTACAATGCGACAGGTCTCTTGTACTTCATTACGATCTGATTATACATTTCCTCCGTTAGTTTGGTATCGTCATCATCTTCTTCCTCATGAACATTTTTGACATATTTATAATCTTCATCCTTTTTCCTTTTTTTGGTTGAAAGATTTGATCCTGTTTTCTCTTCCAACTTTTTTGTAGTTGCAGCAACAACAATTGGCTCTCCGTAATCAATTGAAACATTTCTACAGTCCAGTTTCACCCATTCATCTAATTTTATGTAATAGATTTTATGTTTAGCTGAGTTCTTCAGTGAATGCTCTTGAATATGGTTCTTTAATCTCTCTTCTGCCGATACTCTAATCTTTCTATCTTTCAAAAACCTGAATGGATTTTCATGTCTAAACTTCACTCCACAAATATCACAGAGCAGTCCTTTGCGCAAATTACTTGTAATTCTTGGATCTACTCTGGTAGATTTAACTTTTAATTGTAATTGTTTTGATGTTTCGCTTGTTGTTGTTGTGGTTGTTGATAATATCGGACTGTTTTGTTTATTGTAACCGGTCAATGTTTTATTCAACATTTCCACTTGATCACTCTTTGCTGAATTTATTTTAATTAAACCAGTTTTAACCAGATTTTTAAGAAGTTCGTCTATGTCCAGAGAAGTGAGTGCAGGTGGATTTTTCTCAAAATTTGTCTTTTTAGAAGTAAAGTCATCGCAGTCATCTTCATCAAGTTTCCTTTTTTTACACGTTGGCACGTATTCCGGTTGGCCTGCATCATGATACACTTCCTTCCTGGGATGACAACTTTTTTCCATGATAATGACCGTCCGTGTGGTTAATGAAGTCAGTCCAGTTTTCACTGTTTATGATGACGTCATCTCGTTTCTCGGCATCATGCAATATCTTCCATCATTCAAGCTGCCACTGATGACGTCGTTATCACGTGACTACCACTAATATTATTTTTACTAAAATACTAAAACTTTTATTATTTTTATTATTATTATTACTATTATTATTATTATTATAATGTACTCACTTGCAGTGACGAGCATTTTAGATTAAATAGAATTTTATAATTATTTCATTATTAATATTTGATATTTGGAGTTAGAAAATAAAATGATGTTCTCATTATTATTATTAGTGATCCATAAACTGCTAGCCTCCAAGTTCCTCAAGTTTCTGAAATGCACCCGTCTCACTTGACTTTACAGGTTGCCCTTTTGTGTGAACCGCTGGTTGCAGACAGAGTTTTGGCTGTTTGGGCTTGAACCCCTGGTGTCTAAGGCTATGGATGTTCAGAATGCTCCTCTGGTTGAACCTCTTGTAGCATTCCTTGCACTTGAATGGCCTCTTACCTGCGTTTGTGCTGTTAGAATGATAATGTAATTAAGCGGGGCAAATAATGTTGATGGAATGTCAGTCGGTTAGTCAGTCAGTCGGACAGTTAGTTAAACAGTCATACAGTAAATTCAGCCAACTAACTAACCATCCCACCCACCAGCCAGCCATCCAACCAACCGACCAACTTATATGCACTCTAAAATGCCTGTCCAGCTGACTGGGCTTCTGACAGATCTTTTTGCAGTAATAACACACGTGAGTCTGGTTTTGTGTCCTGTGGGCGAGCTTGAGAGCGGAGACTGCAGACTGTGTAATTAACATAAAAAATGTATAAGCCGCATCATTAACGTAAAACACCGCGCGATCTGATTGAAGTTTTGTAAAAAATGAAGTCGATGAGAAATTTTATATATATATTGAAAGGACATAATGTAAAAACCAGTGTGTCGGAGGCGGATGAAAAATATCCGACACCAAGTCCGAACTCCGACTCAGGCTAAAAATTCCCGACTCAGGGTTCACAGTTCCAGAATAAATTTTTCAACTTTTGCATCATAATTTTATTTTGAAAAATGAAAAATACTTGAAAAAAAACACTTAAAATCAGTCAATGTAATCGTTTTTCATAGTAAATTTACTTCATTTTTATGTCTTCAAATATACTGTAACTGTTTTTCTTAGCAAAATTACTTTATTTTTATATTTTGCAGCATACTGAAAAAAGTTATTTTATTCACATTATTAGTATTACACTTTCAGTATTAAAGATGATTACATGTTGTTACTTATAATTATCTTCTTAAAAACACAATCTTAAAAAAATATTCAGGAAAAAAAATAAAACTTTTCTAAAAATTTTTGGGCCGGATTCTGGCTCCGGGCTCTCAAAAAATTCCGACTTGGGCAAAAATCTCTGACTCCGACATTTTGGTAAAACAGTGAAATAAGATTGAATTCTAAATAAATTATTAAATTATTATATTGGTGATGTAAACTTTTTGAATAGATCGAGTGTTCCTCCGATCAACCGACCAGCACCAACGAAGCAGTGCTGGTACTGTATCAACACAACAACCCAAATTTCATCCGTAACCCAACAAATTTTGGTTGTTTGTACATTTTTAAAAGAGAAAACCGAAAAAATTGTTTAACGAACGGGTGGGAATGGGAGAGAAATTGGAATACCTCTTTGGCGCTGGGAGAAAAATGAAAATTGGTTGGTGAAATTTATGGGAAATGGGCGAGAAGCGGAAATGCTTTGATGGTAATGGAATTGAATTGGAATGAAGCCATTCCTTTCAACCTCTAACGCAAACTTTTGAGTTTAAAAAACACCAACCACTCGTGCCGTCGTATTGTACGAAAAGGACAGGAAATCAAACAATTAGGAAACATAAGTAAAACCAAAAACATTAAATGTACTCTGCAGTAAAAATATGGAAAACTTAAATTTGTTCGCACTTTTTAGTTTAAAATTTATATTTAAAAACAATAGGTCGCGACCTGATTTAGCAAAAAAATAAGAGATAACTAAAATGTTTTAATTAAAAACTGTATAGAATTTAACTGAAATATTTTATCTAAATTATCATTTTAACTAAACTTATTTTTAGTTTATCTATGCGGGAAACTAAAAAAAACAGGTAAACTTCTAGTTTGCAACTTTTGCCCATCACAGCAAACATGTAATATCGATTTACTGTTTTTCACGGTGGTTTTACAAGACTTATTTTTTAACAGGTTTCCGTAAATTTACATTTTTTTTTCTTTTTTGTAATTTTCGATTTGTGGATTTTGATTGAATAATCAATCAATTAAAATCAATCAATTTTGTTACTTTACTCACGAGTCAATTTAATGATGGATTTAATGATGTGTCAAATTTAAGTTTGTTAATGACGCGAGTATATCAAGGACTAAATTTAAATTTTAACAATCGAAATATTTTTTACGGTAAATGTGTTTTTTACGGTAAATGTGTTCAATGAGCTTAATACGGGCTCCTCAGTCATCCTATAGTATTTCATGTATTTCTTTTTTCATTCTCGTTTGAGGACAAATAAAATATTTTGTATTTGTATTTGGGAAATGATGATATACGGAAATAAAGACGCGTAAACTTTTAGTCTAGCAAGTTTCATGTCATTTTTTTTTATTTAAATCAAAGGCAATTTAACGAGAGTTAATAAGATCAATTTAAAAATACGGCAATAAAATCTGAAAGCAAATCAAGAATATAAGTCATTTGATGTTATAAGATCAATCAAAGGATCAGAATATAAGGAAGTCTCGTAGAAGGCAGATACTTATAATATTAAATAGATTTTAACGGTTGAACAAATTATAAACATATGATGATTAACAACGTTTTTTATATTGAAAATAATAAATACGTAATGAGTTTTCATAAATGAAACCAGAAAAAAATTATACCAAATTATAATCCAGAAATAACCTGCTACATTATTAACAAAAAATAATAAAAGTTCAAGCATTTTCCATCATCATAGAGTTTGTTTGCGAACGCCAGCCGTAACCTAATAAAAAATTTAATATAATAGGCATGCAGGGAACAATTTACACACAGTAAGGCAGCATAACACGCGGCGCACCCCACAAACACAAACTTACACAAACATATTGTATATACATATACAATACTGCATGTGCATATACAATACATTTATTATATATATACATATATATATATATATTATTGAAATATTATTAAACGAATCTCAAAAACGCTATCTAACAAAACTAAACTCAACCTAACATGATTGAAATAACAAAAAAATCATAATGCATTGTACAGAAATAAAGTTACAATTTTGTCAAGAACAGAAAAAGTTATCAATGCGATATAGCGAAAATATAAAATAATATTTAGAACATGTCACCTAAGCAAAAAGGATTGGTCAATAATGCATTATAATGAAAATAAAAAAATTTTCAGTTTCTTCTGGAAATCACGCAGGTTTAGGTCCGGATTTCTGAGAGAAGAAGGCAGGTTGTTCCAAACAGCTGGTCCAGAGACAACAATATTACGATAGCAGAAAAATATATATATATAATTTTCTCTCATATACGAGTATATAAATAAAATTTCCAGTCTATTATTTCAATATATTAGCGAGAAAGAACTATGTACTAATAAGAAAAATAACGAAGATATAGAATAGTCAGTTTCATTTGGTTTTGCGTTGATAGCAAATTTTCGATTCTTTCGTGATTTTTCTTGATTTCTTGGTCGCAGTTTGTCAGTACCAGCAGCATCAACAGCATTCAACAGCAGCAACGATCTAACTGATCTTAAGCCATCAACTACTTGAAAAGTAAGAGGATGGCAAAAGCATTAGTATCTAACTAAATATTGTATAATTAGCGCTATAAAATGTGTCAATAATAATAATAATAACAATGATAATAATAATATTGATAATAATAATATTAATAATAATAGTAATAATACGGAAATCAAAATATTAACCAAATGCATAAGCAAGTTTTGATCGCAACACTAATAAGCAGCACCATTGCACATACATACATTCATACATACATACATACATACACACTTACATACACACACACACCACACACATTCACGCCCAGTAAACTCTGCAAACTCGAACTAATTTTCAACTTTTAAACAATTGTAGCACGGTTATTGAATTCCTTTTTAAAGTTATAAAATGTAGCAAAAATTACGCAATTTAACACATTCATATTTTTAAATATTATGCTCCAGCTTGGCAATCAGATTATTTAAGGAAAAATTAAACAAATCATGATTAACACTAAAAAAAGACTAGGCAAATAATAGAAATAAAATGACGAAAAAGTAATAAAGAGTAATAACATAATGCATAATGTAATATGCGTATAAATATATACTTATTTTTATCTATGTATGAACATAATATACTGAACAACAAACTTTAATTACGAAGAAATGAACTAAGAGCAGACCTCTAGATACAAAAGTCTTTATAGATGGTTAAAAATTGTGCGTTTAAACGTTAGTGGTCCAATGTAAGGCATCAGAACAATTCGAGGGCCAACATTCACTGCTGATATCGAAAATTTGTTTGAATAATTAACAAAAATCTATCATATCTTCTCATGTGTATGAACGCACATCTGAAGTTGAAGACATAAAACACAAAAAATAAACAAATACATAAAAAGGTCTACGCAAATATTTATACGTTTATATATGTACTATACATGTATATATGAATTATATATACACATATATAATTCCATTATTCCAACAAAAAAATCATTATGGTGGGGGTCAGGCCCTAAGACCATCTTGGATACGCCTACACACACACCACACATATATATGCTGGTAAAAAACCATAATTAATGCAGTAATTTTGAAATCTACAGAATTTCTAGCGTCGGATAGCTTTTTATTACATTTCTCAATATTTCTAACCAAATACTTGTCGTCATTATTTATTTTATTAACGTTAGAATTGTATACAGTTTTCCAATTTATTCTCGAGAGCATAGGACCTATTTCGATTCATCAATCCTCTTCAGCACTTGTTGCAGTTTATATAGAGAATTTGTATACCCCAGTACTTGTTGCAGTTCAACCCAGTTATACTCACTGATGATATTGAAAATTTGCAAACAAACTGCAAAAGCATTGGGTTATACGAATTCTCCATATAAACTGCAACAAGTGCTGAAGGTAATTGATGAATCGAAATAGGTCCTATACTCTCGAGAATAAATTGGAAAACACATATATATATGGTGATATATATATATATATATATATATATATATATATATATATATATATATATATATATATATATATATATATGAAGATGCAGATGAAGATTTGCACGCGTGATTAATTAAGACACATTGATAAAGACCCTTGTTGCAAGATCATAGCATCATTCTATGTACAAATACATGTATATTAATTAAAGTATATTATTGATATTACTTATATATTAATTAATATACATGTACAAACCTAGTAAAACAATAAATATTTATGACAATATTTAAAAAAATAATAGGAAATTTTTGAGATTTTTCGTCATAAAATTTTTGTAAGATTGTAGAACAGAATATTTGAACAGGATCAGATTTGTAATTGTCTTAAAAAATAATAATAGTAAATTAGAAACATTAAAATGACAAACATTTACAAAACAATCAGATATAATCTATGATAGCTAGGAAATAAATTTGTAAAATAATTTTTGGATATTTAGTAGGAAAATATTAATTTGATATACGTTAAGACAATAGTGGCTGATTAAAATAAATATGATTTGCAACAAAACAAAAACGATCCCGCACGCACAAGCGCACACATAAGTATATAAAATTCAAGTTTTTTTTAAAGAAATGTACAAATCGCGGAGAGTTTGTAACAAGTTTTCAAACTCCTGATCCTCAAATCTTCCACATTGCAAATGCATTCAATCCATGGCAACATATCCTCAGATCATGAGCCAAGCAAAAACTCAGAGGAAGGTGGTGTCGTGGATTATGATGGTGATGAATGAACTTTGCTGGGACTGCTTGTGCTGAGCAGTTACGTTTCGCTTATCAAGGTTGTCCATGGATGTTCAACTTTACCATACTGTTCAAAATAAATTTATAATGAAACGCGATAAACGCGTACCTACCTCCACACATTTGTTGCTTAAAACCAACAAATAAATTAGTTTGATAATTAATTAGAACAACTGGTTCAAATAAAAAATATAATTAGAAATAAGCTAATCAACTTATTTATAATTATTATTGAAGTAAATATTGATTTGTTATTTAATTAATTCAAAGACCTAACTAAATAAATTTTTCATTTGTTTGACCAAAACTCCACAAACCCCTTAAAAAAAACTTTTGCAAGCAAACAGAAAAACGGACAAAGAGAACGGATAAACAAAAAACAAATAAATGAATAAATAAATAAAATAAAATGAACCTGTATATCATGTAATGCATTGTAAAATTTTATAGACAGAGCTTTGTCACTTGTATCAGTGGGCACAAAAATCTTCTGATCCTTGTATAGGATGCTCTCAATCGGGCAGACCACGCACGCCGTTCCCGCCCCAAACAACTCCTTTATCTGATTTGCACGTAACAATACGTAACTCATTAACAACATAATATCTCAATTTAACAACTAACTGCACTAAAATTAGGTTTATAAATTATTCATCTGAACAAAAAAAATAAGTAAAAATGAAGTCAATGCAAAGAGTGACAAGAAAATTATTTGTGTGAATAGCACCAGCTCAAAGAGTTAATTTGAAGTTGCAAGTAATTTTAATAAAGTGCATGCAGCAACGTACCCGTTTTTCTTCTATGGCCTCCAGCAGCTCTTCCATGCACAACTTCCTCTCCACGACCTTCACTGTGTTCTGCCAACAAATATAAATCCTTCCACATAAACAGATAGTCTGATATTTCCGATAACCAAAGTAATGCAAATATTGAAAAAATGTGAGAACCAAAAAAATTGTACACTGAATTATCAAAAAATTTTAAAAATTGAAACGGAAATTGAAAATGTTAAAAAACAAAATCAACTCACCCATTCCCTAGCCAGATCAAGAATGCATTGTCGCGTGACTCCTGGTAGGATCAGTCCTGACTCCAGATCAGGTGTCACCAGTTCCTCCTCTGCAAATTGCAAACAAATTATTTTCTAGCGCACATGAATAAATGTGAACCTTTCCGATCCGTTTGATCATTATTTCGTGTTAAATTGGAATTATAGGCAATTGTACTGTCAAACAAATCTAAAACAGACATTTTACATACGCATATTTTCACGGTGTTAAAATATGTAATAATTGATAACGGTTTTGCTAAGATATTAGAATAATTTTAGGTTTTAAACGTTTTATATTGAAATGTCATAAAATGAAAAAAACACTTAACTTTGGTTTTTTTTAAATCACAAGTCATTGTGTATTAATTTGGTAATTTGTCAAATTTAAGTTTGTTAAAAATGTGAATGTATGAAATATTATTTATATTGAATTTTTAACAATATAAATATTTGTTGGGGTGACTGTGTTCGATGAGCCTAAAGTGGACTCCTCACAGTCATCTAGTCCCTTGAATGTTTTTTTTTAATTTTCTTCAGAAGACAAATAAATTATTTTTTATTTGAATAAACAGGAGTACATGTAGTAACCTCCATTCTTGTTGACCCAATACATAAGAAAGTTCATGGTACCGACTTCTGTAATTTGGTGATCAGACCCATGGAGCCAGAGGACTTGCTGGCATCCCCGTGCCACAGCATCTCTTTGTATCATGACTGTTGGAGCGTAGTTTCTGCAAACAAATACATTTATCTAGCAAATCTACTTCATTTTCAAAATAAGTTAAAAAAAAACTTGAAAATGAAATTAACTAACGCTCCCATTTTAAAAGCGCCACAACCCCCTTCCCAGGCCCTCACATACTGAGGGTCAGCCAGGAGTGAAACGGGTTTGAATCCGGTAGGAAAGTATGGTCCCACTGGCCCTGTGATAACATACAGTAGGGCTTCATTTGATTTGTTCACACCTAATGAAGGCTGTAAAGAAAAAGTAATTCAAATCACAATTCTATTTGCTATATCGTCATTAAACATAATCACCATAGATTTTATAGACGACTTCTTTATGACATCCCTTCACCCTGGTCTATCTTATGTTATCTCTTCCAGTGTCATTTTTTTGGTTCCATTTGATAACCTTTAGTTTAAGTCCGGTCTTATTTAAAACCATCTTCAAGCAATCTATCAATCTAATTTTGGATTTGCCAGCTTTTTTTTCTGTTTCTCGTTTGTAACTAGGAGCCTTTTGTTTTCATTTTGATAACGTGCATAGTCTAATTCTTTTTCTATAAACTCGCTAATCTGAGGTGGTACTGTTCTTCTTGACTCTCCATTTGAGACAAGTTTTGAAAAAAAAATTTTAATTATCCAGAGCAACTAATCTTTTTTTCGTCTTCATTTGATGTTTCGGGGCTCGGTTCCATACAGTGGTAATAAAATAACGCATGCATTCAGTATTCTGAGTTTGACTTTTAGTGCAACATAATTCTTTTATTTATTGGATAGTATGTTGCCCAAGCCATGCCATAATTTTTTTTTATTTCTGCATCTGATCCGCGGTTGGCCTTCAATTCAATCTTACCTCCATCCTCATCCTAGGTCTGCATACTATTGGTGTTTTTACTTTTTCTTATTTGTTTTACAGCCTTCTCCGCCTTTCTCAAGGTTATTTCTTTCGTAACACCATTTTCTCTTTGTAATCGGATTTCGAGCTCTTGTTCAACATCTGTTGCAGATTTTCTTTATTCTCCACTGAGTCTGCTTCCTTTACCATCAGATCAGCTTACTTAGATTTCATTCTGATTTTCATTAATTTTTTACTGTTAAAAATTATACCATTCAGTTTTGGGTGAATTAGAAATTATCGCAATCGCCAACCCAAATTGTATTCCTGTTTCCCTTTTTACCTCCATTAAATATTGTCCATCCTTCTGTTTCAAGTTCAATGCGTTCCACTAATCTCACAAATTTTGACTTATTTTGGCTAACTCATCTGTCTGCAAAATCTGCTTACCGGCGCTATTTAATGTGCCTTCATTCCAGTATAGCTCACTTGCTTCATCTTTTTTCGGTATAAAATCTCCTAGAGTAAACTTTCTTTATTTTCATTTAGATGTTCATGTTCTATTTTGCCTCCTCATCCAGTCAACACTGTCGCTAGAGCGCATCGACAATCAGCATGGACTTTCATCTTTATTTTCCTCATATCCAAAAATTTGATTGCAATCTATCTTGTTGCTTCACATTATTATCTCTGCGCTAGAACCTAATGCTTAATTTTTTAAACATTTGTTTATTTAGTTCTTCAACGAATATGCTACTTTCTATGTCAATCCACAATATAATATATTAAGTTGTGCGTTGTGACCAGTGAAAGAGTTGTTTAAAAAATACAAATTTCCCATTTCCTGAATAACTTTAATACACATTAATGAGTATATCGCTGAACCTCCTCTACTCATAGCAAGTATGAGGGTAGCAAAGTCACTTAATTATAATTACAAACACTGTGTGGTCCACATCTCAGACTACATACAGCCAATGAAGTGCAAATTGATTGATGACCGTCATAAAGATTGCTAAACGTGCATCAATTAATTGAAAATTCAAATAATTTGGTAAACCAGAGAGAGAAAGAGATGATCGTATCCCAACAATCTATGATTCTCAATTGAATTAAAATAGTACATCGTTTAGTTATCAATGAACTCAATACAAATTCTTTTCAAAAGTTATTAGTTTTATATTTGTGATAAATTATTTATTTTATAATATTAATGTGAAAAATTCATTTTGGAAATTTAAAAATTAAATTCAAGAAAACTGTCGCTTTCAGTCAAAACTCAACCGCATAAGTAAACTGTACAACAGTGTTAACATCGAGCAAACCTCAGTTCCAATGAGGGTAGGTCGGATGTACAGTGAACTCTTCAGTGATGCAGGCACCCAGTCCTTGTCAACTTCAACCAACTTCTTGATGCATTTTACCAACTCATTTGTATCAAATGTCTGTTCACAATATTAATACACAGTTGAATTTATGTAAATTAAATTTTATATGTTGTAAGTTGAAAACAATTATATCTAAGTATGATATGAGAGAAAAAATTGTTAGAATTGACTTCTTTGAAAGATGTTGAAAAGATGTATAAACTGAATCAGAAGAGGAACTAGGCATCGTTGACATGGGCAAAATTTTGAAAATTGTGAAATTAGATAGGGACCAAAAACTGCCAACATTTTTCCAGCAGTTGAAAAATTACTCTGATGATCTCTGTTTGCTTATCACGTCAATTTTTAGCCTATTTTCTACATAAAATGGTGTTTTGTGTGTAAAAATTGAGTTTTAGGCTAATGCCAAATCCTCCTTTGAACTGGATGGAGGAATAAATGGCAAAAATGTAGATATGCCCTCCATTTGCCCTAACCCTAACCAAAATTTCATGCTTTAGTGTGATAAGGTGTGGGTCAAAGTTTGCAGTGATATTCTTTAATTTTTAAAAATCAATTATAATCTTGTACCAAGGGTAGATGTTTGACATTAGCAGATTAGTTTTTAAAATATTTTTAAAAATTAAATTTGGAATTTGAAAAAAAGGAAACATAATTGCACTAAAAATTTGCAAAATAAAACAAAATAATGAAACAATAAGTCAAAAGTGGGCAAACTGTGGCTTGTATGTCCAGTCCATTTTTTTGGCCCAACACGCTTAAAATATTATGTTCAAAAAAACATTTTTTGCATTAATATAAAACTAGAATTCTATAAGACAAATTGATCTTTTTTTATTTCTCTATTTAAGCTTTGTTATATAAAAGCTTCAGCTTCATAAACATCACTGCCCTAAGTTACGCCATTCTGTTTTGGCATTGAACCTTTGTTACTATGGTCCCTTGCAGTGGAACCAGCTGACAAAATACATGAAAACAGTGACAGATTTTAATATTAAAAAAAAAACAATTATTAATTTCTTGCAAATTATTGATCTTATTGTTTTGAAAGAATTGCTGTTATTTTTACTCTTTCAAAACCACTCAATACATCAACAATTATTTTATGCACTGTTTTATGTACAATTTAAACTGTTGAGATTTTTCTGATGCAGCTGTATGAAGGGGCGAAGACAAAGGTGAGGGTTGGAAGGGGGATGTCGGACGCTTCTAGTGTTAAGGTAGGCGTGCATCAAGGATCAGTGTTATCTCCGTTTTTGTTTGCAATTGTGATGGATGTTGTGTGTGGAAACATAATGGAAGGGTTGTTATTTGAGATTTTGTATGCAGATGATTTAGTCTTGATGGCTGATAGCATGGAAGAAAAGCAGTTAAAATTTGACGGATGTAAAAGTGTTATCGAAAAGAAAAGGTTAAAAGTTAATATTGGTAAGACGAAGGTAATGATGAGTGGGGAAGGTGGGGAGCGAGTGATAAGTAAAATAGACCCCTGTGGGGTATGTGACAGGAGAGTGAAAGCTAACTCGGTATTGTGTATAGGATGTCAGAAGTGGGCGCATAAGAGATGTAGTGGTCTGAGGGGGGCACTGAAAAAGGTGGAAGGCACGTTCAAATGTAAAAAATGTGTTCATGGTGTGATTAATAGGAGAGACGCAAGGACGGGGTTGAGTGGTGGTATCGAAAGAGTGGAAAACTTGGTTTATTTAGGGATTAAGCTGAACGCGGATGGAGGTGTTTGAGCGCTGTTACGGCAAGAGTCCGTGTGGGATGGATGAAATTTAGAGAACTGGGTGAGGTATTGTGTGGAAAGAAATGGTCAGTGAAGATGAAAGGGAGGGTATATAAAGCATGTGTGAGAGCAGCGATGGTATATGGTGGTGAAACTTGGGTGTTGAGAAGAGAGGAGGAAAGTGTACTGCTGAGGGCTGGTGAGGATGATGTGTCGGGTTAAAGTAAAGGATAGGAGGAGTAGTACAGAGCTGATGTCGATGATGGGACTGAATGAGAACATTGTGACATTGATAAGGAGATCGAGATAGCGGTGGTATGGACATGTGTTGAAAAAGGATGAAAGGGTCGGGATTAGGCGAGCGTTAGAGTTCGAGGTTGAAGGAGTGATAGGAAGGGGTCGTCCGCGATTGGGATGGAGAGAGCAGGTGGAGAAGGACAGAGAGAAAGCGGGGTTGCGTGATACTGAGGCGAGTGACAGATGTGAATGGCGTCGAGGGGTATTTCGGTTTCATCCTAGGTAGCCAAACGGCAACCCCCGATCTCGGGGAAAATATCGTCTCGTGTGTTGTTGTTGAGATTTTGCTGTTTATTTTGTAGTTTAATTCTCAAAGGTTTAGTTTTTCACTATGATTTTATTTTTATTCATAGTTTTATTAAATTTTATAGATTTTAAATCACAGACAAATTTTCATTTTAGAACCCAATGAATTAGCGTTGACAGCTAGGATGCTTTGTTAGAAAAATTCAGTCGTAAACTAAGCAATGTAGAAAAGGCTGACACTTAATAACAGTTGCCTATATGACAGTATCAACCCTTATACATATATATTATATATATATATATGTATAAGGGTTGTATATGTATATATATTATATTATATATTATATATGTATATTATTACGGATTATTATTATTACGGAAGTTTATATACAGCGCTTTTTTATTGTTGAATCTCAAAAGCGCTACTAAATCATAGACAAATAAGACGGACATTCATTGTGCAAATAAATAAGTTTTAAGTTGACTTCGAAATTGTAAATATGATAGGCTAGGGTCACGTAAGTATGGAGGTAAACCATTCCAAACAGTCGGGCCAAGAACCGCAAAGTTGCGGGAACCCGTCACCAACTTTGTGGTCGGGATAAAAAATAAATTGCGCTCGGTTGATTGGAAGGAATATTTTGAAAAATGAGATTTGTATGATTCCAATCTATCGATGAGGTAGGGAGGTGCTGTATTATTGACACATTTAAAGATCAAAACTGCCAACTTGAAGGAAACACGTTTTTCAACCCTCAACCAGTGCAACCTGTTCAAAATAGGCGTAACATGATCATAGGCGTATATATGTATATATATTATATATATATATATATATATTATATATATATATATATATATATATATATATATATATATATGGAAAGAGCTGGACTATCATTACACTGGAGAACTAGAGTAATACTAGAAAACGGAAACGGATGGTGAACAGTCATTTTGGCCTCTTTGGCTGAAGACAACTGACAGAGGAAAAACGCAACTATAAAGCTATTGCGGCCCATCATAATTCAAAATATTTAAAAAATGATAACAATTTGACTTTTTCAATCTTTAATGTGAAGTGCAGTGACTAAAATAAAATTATAGCCAATAAAACCAAAATTACCTACTTCAAAGTTACGTTGTTCTATAAGTAATTGCGCAAAATATTTCACATTTAATAAAATATGAAATAAATTATTTTTAAATTTCACACTAGCAGCACCACATTTTAAACCTACAAACCACAAAGAGAAGCCACCATCTGGGCTGCAGATTCTTCACTAAGTTTGGTATGAACAATGTGAAAAAGAAAATTATTAAAGAGTTATCATGTTTAATCAGTTTATTTGAACTGATGTTTGACACTTTCCATGATAATATTTTGCATAACAATCAAATTTTCATCACTGTCTCACACTTTACAACTTTTTTCCATCAATCAGTCAAAAAAAAACTTCCATGCGATAAATCAGATTGAAAGCCAGAAAAAAGAAAATTTCTTAAAATAAAACTGCTTTACTTATTTAAAAAAACAATTTAAAAAGTGAAGAATCAAAAAATATTTCAAATATTGCAACATCTGCATTACTTTATTACAATCAATCAAAGCAATGCTTTAGAAAGACTGACCTGAACAACAGAAATAAGCAAATAGATGGTTAACTTTAGATGTGCATGAAATGTCAGTCAAATGAAATTGAATAACAGAGTAGATATACATTTTTACAAGTTTATAAGTTAACATAAAAGTTTAAATCAAGTTTGAAGACAACAGAAAAATAAATTATGAAATACTTCATCACAAAAAACTTTGTATAAACCGTTGCAATAAATCATCACCTTGATATACCAATGAAAAAAGTAAAATAGAAAATTACAACAACACAAAACATATGAACAATTTCAATTTATTTTATAACAACCTCTTCCCAAAACATAATAAAATGTACCCTCAGATAAATGTTTAGGAATATATTTGAATAAATAAATAAATAAAAACCAGTACAAGTGTATAACCTTGAACAAACAACTACCATTGTAAGTTAAACATAAAGAAGCAACTTTATAAAAATAATCACTACACATTTATAATAACATGTATATAAAATAAACATACAGGCAGAGCAGATCTTTCAGCAGTTCTTTTCATTCGTTCCATATTCAGATCTGGTCTAAACAGTCGAACCTTGTTATCGTATCCTCTATAGGCTTTCGAGCCTTCAAACAACTGTTCGTGTTGGGGAAGTTTCACTTAATGTTTCACTTAACTTCAATTAATGCAAGCCATTTTAATAATTAACCCAATTTAACAATTTATCCTCTGTATATAAATTGATATAATCAATTAAAATACAAAGAAAACCTTTAAGGTTTATTTGACAATGAAATATTTTAAAGTGGAAAAATTTAGAGTGAGGGTAACCTGTGAAGCATAATGTAGCACTTTAGAAGCAGGATGAATGGTCAGATCATGAAAAGGACAAATTTTAGGTGCACTCCAACCTTTATCAATGTCCCACTTGACTTCCAGCATGTGATCTGAGAATGTGTGTCCAAATATTAACTTATCTGGGTCTGGTTTCTGACATGTTTCTTTGCATAATTCTATTTCAAGATCAGCAAACTGTTGATGAAAAATATTACTATCTATAAAAATGATGAATCTGCATAGATTATAATAAAAAAAAAAAAAAAAAACAAAAATTTAACTCATAACTAATACAAGTAGAAAAAAAAAGCTTAAAAGTTGCTGTTATAATAAACATCGAGCGTGCACATACTCAGCCATTCTCCGACTAATTCTTTACCAAATATTTTGCAGTGAAAAAAATATACTCACTTTGAATGATGATGGGGCATTTGAACTGTAAAATGCTTTGCAAATGGATGTAAACTGAACTTTAATAAATTGTCCAGAAAACAATCTCTTCATAGTATAAAGCTAGAGGTTTTTTTCTGAAACCGAAAATTTAAAATAAATACTCTTCACGTAAATCTGATTATAATCATAAATGATAACATCTCATTTTTGATTTATTTAATTTATTTAGATTATATTTATAATTTCTGCTATTTTACTATTGTTTACAAATGGTATAATAAATAAAAATATAAAATATGAAAAACAAAAATTTAAAAAATCAAGGTGATGTTGCAATGTCGCAACTGTTTGTCATTTCATCATCTTCTCATCATCATGTTTAATACCTCATAAAGTTTGTTATAAATAATTCTATTTTATTTATTATTATAGTATTTATATTTATATGTATTATTACAATAATAATTATATTGTATGTTGTATAATATATATATAATTAATGATGCAATGGATAGTGTAAAAGCTAAAAAATCAAACGTAAATAAGTTATTTTTATGCCGCTTTTCTTTTGAATGTGCCTTTAGTTAGTTTTAGCTAGAGTTTATTTACATCTGTTTTTAAAAACATTGATGATTAATATTCATCATATTATTATAGATGTAAAAACATACCTACCACTGTTATTTTGAACTTCAGAAATATTTAACAAATATAATTAATTATTAAACTCAAATTTTATTTATTTATTTCACTGAATAAATTAATAATTTTATTACAAACTTCTGATATGCAGACAAAATAAATTAAAACGAAAGCAACTGACAGGCATCAACCAATGATTCAACAAGACAAATAAAGACAGAGAACAACATACAAAACACAGCAACTATTTACGAGCCAGCCATGAGACGATGATGATGATGATGAGATGATGATGAAATGACAAACAGTTGTGACATTGCAACATCGCCTTGTGAGAGGCTTGGCTGATGACTATTTTTATTCTCTTGTTTTTTTTAGTTATGAACTCTTAAGCCGAAAAGCATGCATGAATATGAAGAATAATGAAATGATAGATGGAAAGAATAATAAAATGAATTAAATTATTTTGGTACCATACCAGAAGTAGTTCCAAGAAAAGAAATCTTCTTAAAATAATAAAATGTAAAAAATATTTCAATTGAACGCAATTTCAAACTATAAAACAGAGCCTAAAGATGAAATTTAAATGAAAAGTTGCACACGATTAGAGTAGGTGCGCCTCCTATATTTATGCCGAGCGTGTTTATTTATTTACCTTGCGTTCTTTAGCCAGTTTAAAGCCACATTGCAAGTGGCGAGGTCAACTTCTGAAAGATCATTTATTCAAAAGGATTTTTTCATTCAATTCTAGCGAATGAATTTTTTCATTCAATTCTAAGTATAAATTGTGACAACAAATGCTGCAGAACTCTTTTAATCTTCGACATGTAAGAATTGCATTGAAACAATTAAAAAAAAACACATAATTTTGTTACAGAAATTGCTCTGTTCATTTCCATTATGAGCGTGCTAAAAATCGAAACAGCGTCATAGATTAATTAATTTTCCTTCGTTTTTAAAACACATTTTGATGATGTAAAAAAAATTTACTATTCGCAATACCTTTGTAGCTACACTTTGAAATTGTTGCAGTTGATGTTGCTGTTACCAAAAATCGGTGGAACGTTATGCGAAATTTTTTTTTGTAGTTGTTAGCCAAACAGAAAATTCTGTTGGTTTTGTCCAAAGATGAATTAGCAAAAGTTCTGTTGTGATGTTGGTACAGTTAAAATTGAATTAATTTCTTTTAATAAATCTAAACACTCTATTACTATTCCTCCTATTATCTTACTTGATTCTAAAACTCTTTATGTTTTTCACAAGTTTCGTAGTCTAAGCTTTATCTTTGATTCTAGTATGTATCTTTCTTCTCAGATTAATAGTGTTGCTAGAAGTTCTTACCTTCATTTACGTAGAATAAAACCTTTTGCCTTTTCTTGATGATCCTATTCTTCTCCATCTTGTAACTTCCTTAGTCTTATCTAAGATTAATCATTGTAACTCGCTCTACTATGGTCTTCCTGTTACTTCCTTAGTCTTATCTAAGATTAATTATTGTAACTCGCTCTACTATGGTCTTCCTGATTCTATACTCTATCCTTTAAGTAAAGCTTTTAACTTTGATGTTCGTCTAGTTGCTCGTGCCCCTTTCTTTTCTCATATATCTCCATATCTTGTTCTCTTGCACTGGCTACCTATAAAATATAGAATAGTTTTTAAAATTTGTACATTTATGTATAAGTCTCAATCTAAATTATTTCCTAAGTACTTATCATATATATTAATATATACTATTTGAACCTAAACGCCCCAGTTTGCGATCGTCTTCTTGTTCTCGCTTCTTCATAACTCTTGTTAAACACTATTTTATTAAATCTGTTAGTGCTTTTTCTGGCTCTATTCTCTGGAACTCTTTACCTACTTCTCTGACTACTTCTCCATCACTTACGAAGTTCAGAGCGGATCTCAAAACCCATCTGTTTTTAAAATTCATTGAGAAGCGCTGTTGAACATCGCGGAAATAGCGCATTACAAGCTAATTGATTGACTGACTGACTGACTGACTGACTGATTGAGTTGAAAAGAAGTTGAACATTGTGAGGACTGAAGACTGATGTTACATGCCGGCAGATGTTTGGGATGTTTGGGTTGATTCTGTTCTGGTAGTCAGTGAGGTCTTAAAAAAGTTACAATAGCCTGATCTTAATGTTCTTGTCTTTCTAGGTAGTGTTTCTACTTAAAAAAGTCGCCAGCCCAGGCACAAATGAACATGTTAAAAAATCTCAATTCCGACAACGGTCGAAAAATGTACATCTGCGGTCCTTCAAAAGTATAATGGTTCTCAATGCAACTCTCGCAGCAAAAAGTTTGCCCAACCCTGGTGTAGAGTTATATCTTTCATTGAGTAAATTTGGAGTTGCGTTGTTATTTAGATATTGCTTCTCTGACTGAGCCGGTGTGAAATTATTCAACTGCTAGGCGGTGGTCTTTTTGGTCATTTGGGCATGGACGAACTGCTGAATAGTGTTTAGGTATTTAGTTTAGAGGGTGTTCTTGATTTTGATTTGTCTTTACTAATTTGTTGAAAAGGTGATGTGACAAGGATGTGTTGGGTCTTGACATTGGATTAACAATTGTGATGAAAGCAAATAGGTTTGTCGAATAATAAAGAGAATTTTGCATTTGTGAAAGTTGAAATTTTTGCAGTCAATCATAACGGTTAAATTTGACAATATTTGTTAAATAGACACTGATATAAATATAAAACATCAACAAAAACCGTAGATTTAGAAAAGAAAGTCAACTTATACTAGAAGCCCATGAGTATCAACCAAAAATTTATGGCTACTTACGATGTATTTCATCAGAACACACCAGATTCTGTGATACGCCACACTTAAGAACTCTACTAAACTTTTTCAGAAGACATTTAGATGGACATGGAGTTGTTTAATGTTTTAAATTTTTGCAACGGTTTCATTTTATTTTGGCATTACCAAATTGTTTGTTTTTTCCTGATTATAAATTTTACTACAAGCAAGAACAGCGTTGATGTCACGTATTCATTACAATTGTCCAAAAAACATCAATATTAGTTAATATACAGTGTTGATGCAAACAGTCCCAGGTTTACATTCAGATCAAATAGTAAAGAAAATTTTTTGTGTAACTCAAAGTTTCAGTTCAGACATAAAACGTCTTAAGAAACAGAAACGATATAAAAAGCTTTAATATTTTGGTTAAAAGCAGCAAAATGCGGTATGTTATGTGTTGCTTTCAAATACATCATCCAGTATTGTGGGCATCCTGCTTTAATAAAAATGCTTGTAAATGTTGGACACAAGATGGTGTAATGGCTTAAGCGCCTGTTTGTAATATTATAGTGACTGAGTTTAAACACAAAGATCCCCGCCTTACGTGGAAAGTATTTGTTTGTTAATTTCAATACAATTTGTTTTAAAATTGCCAATAAAATGCTAAGCCGTTCTTGTGTAAAGAGATTAATTTAATATTTTGATCGTTTACAGATTTTACTACCACAAATCAAAAACTACTACACAAAACCTTCGTCAACGCAAGCATAACTATCAAGTCGCCACTCAATCAACATATCAAGAGAAGACCTTCATCACAAGACACCTTAAATATATTAGCACTCAATAAAACTTTATCATTTACTCAATCTAATTTTCTTTTTACTTTTCGATCACCTCACTAACTCATTAAGTCATTATCTAGTTTATTAATTAAATACTTTATTTATTTGCCCTTCTGTACCATTACTTTATTTTAAATACTTTTCATGTTTACACGTTTTTTTCTCCGTTATTTATTTCGTTATCATTTTATACTATTGCCTTGCATGCTGTTAACAGATTCTGCGTCTGTCAGATCCTGGTTTTTTAAAGAATAATAAAAAAGTGTTTGTGACTGAATTCCGTTATTAGACAACAATATTTTAATATGCAAATAATTTTATTTTATTCTTATTTTATATATATTCTGTCATTTACTGTGTTAACTACGTTTAGCAGGTATTCGTCTACTAATTTATTAAACTGTAAATTACTATAACTATTAATATTTTCAATTAAATTTTAAGCTGTTTTTTAGTATCGTCGATAGGGTTTTATTGTGATTTTACAAAATCTACTGGTATTTTGCAATAACATATTGATTTTCTTCTCATGTTCGTTCATGTACATAACTATGTAAGAAAACAAACAAGCGTTTAAATTTGAACTACGTATCCATACACGTTAATTTCAATTTAATTCGTTTTGAAATTGCTACTAAAATGTTAAGCATTTTTTGATAAATCGTCTTTTTACGACATATTTATATTTATAAAATTTAACTTCTGAAATGTTTTCATCGTTACTTAGAATGTATGGAAAAACAAATAATAATAAGAATAACTGCGTAAAGCAATTGAATAAAGTTTGGTTTACTGTTCTGTCTAGGGTAAACTAAAAATTAATCTAAGCTTTTGATATTTCAGTGTTTTGTCGACTTAATTTTAGCTGCCCGTTTAATTTTGTGCATTCCCTACGCCATTATTTATTTTGGGTCGAGTTTCAACGGTTTGATCGAAATCTACGTCGTATTTATTTCTTTGCTGTGATTTTCTATTTTTTTGTTGGTGATTTTTTATTCGCATTTTGAGTTAAATTTATTAAAAATTAAACTTTAGTTATTAGTAATTTAGTTTAAAAAGCCTTTTGTTGGCAATTGGCAACTATTATTAAAAAATAAGTGATTTTTAATTATTATATAAAATTTTAATATACACATTATACTTGTCTTATACGTGCATTAATAATGCATTATATATATAGTATTGTATTATATAGTAATTAGTGTATTTAATATTAATTTAATTAATTTAATCTTTTAATGTAACTAATATAATACACTGTATTATATGGCAATGCTTTTCAAAGAGGTGGTCCGCAGCCGGTCTGCAGACTAGCAACTGCAACTAAAATATTCAAAATAAAAAAATAAAAACAAGACTTGACCAGCAACACAAAGAGAATTTCATTAATTAGTACTGGTGAGATAAAAATAGAAGTGAGAGCGCAAGAGCCAGAATGATCTCTGCAACTAATGGAGATTCGTCGTTCTAAATTTGCGAGATAAGTATATATGTGAGGGTGGTCAGCTGTTTAAAAAAACATGGTTAGAGTGTGAGATAAGTATGAAAGCGAGCAAGAAATAGTATTTCACATGTGGTATATTAACTGTATTTATATATATATTGTGTAATGGTGGTCCGCAGCATGCCCATTAAATTCTGTACTGGTCCGTGGAACAAAAAGGTTTGAAAAGCATTGTTATATGGTATTGTATTATATAGGATCGGTCATTTCTTCTTTTAAGTTTCAATCTTGAAATTTTTAACTTCCCAGCTAGGTGCAAAAGTAGAAGCAAAGCAAGGTATAAAATAAATAATGATAATTAATATATATTAAATATTATTATGTATAAAATAATTATATTTATTTCATTTACTGTATAGTATTTATTTACTAAATAAAAAGTATTTTCTATTTAGTAATTTGTTTCATTGGATTTTATTTTATTTTTTATATAATTAACATTTTATTTAGGTGTTTGTCGTGGGTAATTTTTGTAATTTAGTTATTTTATTTTATTTATAATTAGGTAAAAGTGCATTTTGGATGCCTATATTATTTCATAAATAAAATGCATAATTACTCATGCATTAATGTGCATAAATTCTAGAGTGTCAGAGTCGGATAAAAAATACTCTGACTCCGGTCCTTCAAAAAATTTGGCTCCTGACTCCAGGTAAAAATTTCTGACTCCAGGTTTTGATTCCCAGAAAAATCTTTTAACGTATGCATCATAATTTCACCTTATTATCACTAGTAAATAGAAAATACTTTAAAAAACACTGAAAATCAGTCAATGTAATTGTTTTTCTGAGTAAAATTACTCTATTTTTATGTTTTAAAACATATTGAGCAAATTTTACAACTTTTGGATCATAATTTCACCATTTCATCACTACTGGCCATACCTCCATTGACCACGATAGATTTTCAATGAAAATATTTAGATTCATCTCTTTTCACCACCATCATTATACCATTGATGCCAAATCCTCCAATTTCACCTGGATTATTCTCCAGCCATAGTTCATGCACTTCGTGATAGAATTATACCAGTTGACAATTGTGTGATTTGTTGTCACTTTTGTCTCTGGCTTTGTTAAAAGTTGTAGCATATTGTGTGACTAACAGTATTACATCATTAAGATTATTTGTTTTAAAGTCGGATGACTGTGTTCAAAAAAGAACCATCTCTTATTGATTTTCTCCTGTTACATCTTGCACATTTCCATCTCATGCCACTAATATTACCATCCATGTGACTTAGTCGCTCACAACTGTTACACACAGACTGTTTCTTATTAGACTACATTCAGCTAACCATAGTACACAAGCATTTATGTCTGTCAGTTCAGGTATCACTGAAGCCAGGTTCTTAACATCATTTGTTCTGGTTTGTACTGGAATTATGGTATTAGGCGGCACAATTTCCATTGTTCCATGAGGTCTACCACCCATTTTAGCGCTATTTAATTCGAAATTTATTTTAATGAGACGTTTTTTAATTTACACGAATTTGAAACAGGAAACAAAACTAGGATAAAACTAGGATTAGTCGCAAAAATGGAAACCAAAGATTATGACTATTAATAAATATTTTTGTTATTTTCATTTTTTGTTTATCTTCATTTATCTTCACGTCCTACCTCGGAGTAACTGGTTCTTTGGACGCTAAAGGAAGATTGATTGATTTTTGTTTATTACTAGTTTCTAAAAAATAATTTTATTTGAAGAATTCAACATTTAGCATAATTTTAACTTTATTGATAAAATAATTTACGCACCTAAAAAATGTCTTTTATTGGTAAAATAATTTAGGCACCTAAAATGCACTTTACCTTTACCATATAATTATGTTTATAAAATACAAATTTAATTTATAAGTCTAAGGAAATATTTTGGTAAAAGTGTACTTTTCTGTCTACTCATGCAATTAATTTTATAACAAACTACATAACAATCATCAATTTTTCAATGTTCACAAGTTTTAAATGTTGAAGATTTTGCTTTTCTCAATTTTAATGTTAATCCTAACCCTAGCTCTCAGCCTGACACATTACAAATTTTATTAATCTAAAATTTTCGAAGTGCATATTTTTCTAATTAATTCAAGTTCACTTCTCGCTTTATTTATACTCTCACCTCCGTGCTTATCTCACAAAATTAATTTCATGTGTATTGAGAAAAGTACGCTAGCCGTCGAGTTGCGCTATATAATTATTTTGATTATTTGTTATCTTTGCTATATTTATATTTGTCATCTTTGAAAAACTATAGATATCGATAGTCTATATAAGACGCTGCACGTGTTGTGTATGTAGTGAAGTTTAAAACGAAGTTGTAGCTGTGATTCATATGGTTACGATCGGAATTATTGGCGGTCGTGCGTATTTCTTGGATTAGTGAATATTTAGCAATATTAAAGTTATTTAGCAATATTAAACTAATTAAAGGTGGAGTTTGTATTTTTTTTATTTCAAAATCAGTCGACTTAATTAAATTAAATAAGACTATAAAAGCTAATCATTTATATTTTATTTAGCTTTACCTTAGAATTAGATTTTTTAAAACTAATTTAACTTGTTAACAGATGAGTTTGTCTGCGAATTCTTTGAACTGCAATCAACAAAATGAGTCACAAATGGCAGAAGGAACAGAATCTATCACCAACTTTGTTATGCAGCTCGATGAAACGCCCACTATTGTAATATTACCAACTGTTTTTCTTTTTAAAATGTTTACTATATTAACAATAGTTCTTATTCATTCAAATTCAAAAGTTATTTGTCTTTTTTTAATAGAATATTTTTATTCACTAGATTCCAGATGTGGTCACCTCAAGTTTCCTCAATTCAGCAGGATTTGAAGCTAGCGATCCCCGATTGTAAGTTTATTAGATCATTTGTGGGTTACATTGTTAATTATAATATGTAGAGTCCATTCGAGCGCCTCGTGAATGTTGTTCTTGTCACAAGCAAAGACCGAATTCTCTACACCTCACGAGGTACATACTTGTTGTGTATGCTCTTGAAAGCTCCGCATCATACAAGCATGGCATATGATAATCATTGAGTTTCTGAAAGGCAGCATCCGAACCAGGCCATTGCATAACTGCACAAGACATGGCACTTCTTTAACTGAGCTTCTTGCCAACCTGTTACATTAGTTTTATTAATAAACAATTAATATTTAACAATAATTTTTATTTGATTTCTGACACTAACTAGAAAAAAGTTTGGAAATGTATTAAACAATCAACATTCATTTTTCAACAGCTATTCGTTTCAATTAGTTATGTTCAAGACCATGTTTTAAACATTCATTTTTTACTTGTTTATGAATTTCTAACTTACTTCATTTGCACTCAGTTGATATTTTGTTTCATTTGTTGTTTCATTTGTTGCACTTTATTACTGCCTCATCATCATGTAGAGTCAAGCTAGTGTCATTGGCCGGTCAAAAGTTTATAGCAGAAATAGTTAATGATGCCCTTCAACATTGCAGAGTCAAATCATCTGGACAGAACAAGAAGCAATCCAAAGTAATTAAACAACTTATTTTAGTTGCTCTCATTACTAATCAAAACAATTGCCTTGATTTTACTGTAGCATTTTTTCATAGTTGTTAGGTTTGTAAGCTTGAATGCATGAAATTTTTAACAGCATTTCACTTATTGTGAAAAGTGGAGTTAGACATTAGCTTAAACTTTTTGAGCTAAATTTTGTCTATGTCCCAAATGTGCATTAATTTTTTTTTGGAGAAAAACCTCTAATATTTAATTGTTTCTATAGTATAGATAAATAAAATACAATATATGTAATAGACATTTGAATGTATTGGAAAATTTATTAATTTTCTTTTAAATAAATACAAATCAGGATAAAAAATTGACGCTGACGATGGAGGACCTGAGCCCAGCCCTGGCAGATCACGGAATCCACGCTGTTAAGCCCCCATATTGTTTATAATCTTCAATGCGAATTTTTTTTCATGCATTCTTTGTAGATTTTTGACAGTTTTATGTACAATTTAATTTTGTCCCAAAATGTATAAAACGTTATAAATTGTAGCAATTAAAGTTAAAACAGGTACACAAAATAAAAAACGCTAAACTGATAAAACCAAAGATAAAACCAAAAATTACTGATCACATGAAATATTAAAACAACTGATTGTTCATTCGCTTATTGTGTAGTTGAGATGTACAAAAATGTCAGTTTGGATCTCTAAAAGTCCGCTATTGCTAATGTTAATGTCTTTATCGGGTACGTCTTTTGAGTTTGTCTTGATCTGACTTATCTTATAAACAACATCCTGCAAAAAAAATTTATATTTATCTGACAAATTTTTCTGAAGAGGCAAGTGTGGAGTGTATGTTTGTGCTTGATATAAATTTAAGTTCATAATACTATCTAAATAAAATGATATATATATATTTTATATATATGTATATTTTTATGTTGATATATATATATATATATATTTATGTTGGAAGGATACTATATTTTATACTTTATTTTATGAATTCTACCGAATTGTAGGCAATTTAAAGTTTGAAATGATTAATGCCAACAATTCGATAGAATTCAAACAATACTATATATATATATATATATATATATATATATATATATACATATATATATATATATGTTGGTAATAGACCATAATTTTTACAATATTCTATAAATTCTACCGAATGTTTGGCGTTAATATGTTTGTAGTTCGTTTTTTCGATTTTTCTCACTAAAGTTTTTTGGTGAACGTTTATTATATATATATATATATATATATATATATATATATATATATATATATATCTATAACTATGCACAACAAAAGAGGAGCCATTAGAATGCACCTTGAAACGATACATCAAACGATCCCATCACAAGAAATATTAGTAAGCAATACTAGTATAATATACGGTAACAAGTATCACAGCCTTGCTGAAGCGATCTTCACTGACCAAAGAAAGCCGCAAATTAACAAGCAGCAAAGAATAGCAACATCATTACCGACCAGAAGAATTTTATCGAAAGACTTTACGTGCAAAGAGAATGAACCGAACAAAGATATAATAAACGGACAGGACCAAGATATAATAAACGGACAGAAAAAATCAGAATAAAAGCCCTGTTGTATTAACAAAACTAAAGAGGTTCACTGTTAAGAAAATTTTTAATTTCGGTCTCACATTTTCCGACCAATATGTGGTGGGCTGGACTAAATCAACTTTAGTTTTGTCCGTTCCACATGAAAGGTGGTTGGCTATCTGTCTTGCCTGGTGATTGTCTGAACAGAAAATATAGATTTACAAGATTGACCGGATGTTTAACTGACTCTCCGGATGGTTTGAGGTCATAGATGATTCTGATTAATCTTTTTTGACATCTATGAATGTTTTCAATCAAATATGGGGAACAATTCCCGCAAATTACGTTACAATAAATGAGGTGAGGTAGAACAAAGCTATTGTAAATGACTATTAATGTTTCCAAATTAAATTTATATTTAATAGTTTAATACGGTTGAGAAATTTTTTATTTTTAATTGCCAGATGTATTCAGACCAGGATTAATTATTTTGAAGAGTTAAAAGCAAGAAATTTATTGAATCTGATTTCTGTACAGGAATGTTACCAAAAGTTTTCTTTATATCTCTCATTGAATTGGTTAATATTTTTGGCAAATCGTTGACGAAGACGGAAAACAACAGAGGTCCTAAGATAGACTCTTGCGATACTCCGTATTTCACAGGGAAGGCTTTTTGACTTTTGGTTGTTCTGATAAACAAATTGGGATCTATTGGCTAAATAACTTGTAAGCCAAGAAAAGATCTAACCGCGAAAATCGTAATGTTCGAGTAGTCGCAACAACTAATCGTGGCTTATTATGTCGAATGCCTTTTTGATATCAAGAAATAAACCCAGCGTAAACCGTTTACTGTTTCAATTTTTTAGTACTCTCTGATTGAGTTCTAAAATTGCCAGTCCAGTTGAATGTGCATTTCTAAAACCATATTGACTGTTTGATAAAATGTTGAACGTTGATACAAAAGAGTTCATTCTTGTACATACTATTTTTTCTAAAATCTTCGAAAACGGTGACAACAATGCTATCGGTCTGTAATTACTTGCATTGTCTCTGTGGCCTTTTCATGATCAGGTATGATCTTGGCAGTTTTAAAACTACTTGGGAAAACGCCGTTTGAAAGAGACCAGTTGAAAAATGGGTAACCGGAGAAACTATTTCATTTATAAATATTTTTATAATAAACATGGTAAGATTATCATAAAATACTGATATTTTCTTATTAAATTTATTGATAACTGACAAAACTTCTGAGCAACTTGTATTTATCAGAAAAAATAAGTTACTGTTACGTTCTGAAAATTTTTTCTGATCATTAGTAGAAGAGGAACTCAAAAATTCACACTGATTCAATAAAATTTATATTCATCGCATTACTAATGTCTATTGCGTCATGTAGAGTTGTATTGTTGTAATTTAAAGAATTAATCGTTGTAGATTTTTTTTTGTTCAAAATATTATTGATTAAATTCCATTTTGATTTCACATCGTTTTTTGATTGTTTATAAGTGTTTTGATAAATCAGTTTTTGAGATATACGTTTTCAAGGTGTAAAAGTTTCGAAATTTTTATTTTCTATTAAGTTGTTATCCGTTGGGGTATGGATTAATTTTTTGTTTAACTTACTTTTAATTTTGACAGATTCATAATTTCGGTAGTTATCCAAGATTTTTTCAATTCTGCTCGATTGAACAGGTTTCAAAGGTGTATCGAGGACTCTGTTGAAAACATTTAAAAACAAATCTACACACTTGTCAACACCGTATTTGTTGGAAATTAACTCCCAATTCTCTTTTGCTGATTGAAACAGATGACGTTGTGAGTTTTCTTCTTGTTTAGTGAACTGTTATTCGAACAATTGTCGAAATTTAACCTGTTAGCCATCGTTAATTGCATTTGTTTTTTCCACAAAATTTACTTTAGATTGAAAATTCATTCACGAATGATGGAGTGCTCGGGTCCATGATAGCAGACATTGAATCTTGAGAAACACAGAGCCTGAAACTAGTGCTGCCATCCATCAGATTTGTTTGGCAGGTTGTTAAATTTGTTTTTATCGTTATCTTTTTCGTTGAAAGTTTAATACCAGAATTGGTAAGGTGATTGACGATTACGCCAGTTTTAGGGAAATTCAAGTTGACTAAATAATTTATAGATTTTTTGACAAGTGGATGAACATCTTTGAATCCGATATTCGATGTTGATTTGTCTGTACACTTTTTGACAATGTTGAATAACCGTGAGGAAGATCGGCAATAACATCGAACAAGAACTTATGCATCTGGGGCTTGTAAAAGACGACAGGCAAAAGATTAAACATTGAAAACAACATACAAGATAACAAAAACAAAAAAATTGAATGAATTCTTCACTGTTCATTCAAAACAAATGTTGGTAAAAATGATGACACTGTTTAACTTGATCAACCAGACAATGTTTCGATAGAAATGGTTGCTGATCTTAGCGAAGAAAAGGCAGAAATTGTATCATGTGCAACCTGATGATTATGAAAAAGAAGAAACAGACAATGCCACAAGTTATGAAGAAGGTAAAGTTGATGACCCACCGAGAGGCAATGACATTGGATTCTGGCCATCTATAATTTCATAACAAATGCAAAACTAGTGGCTTAAAAAAGGCCCATCAACAATTCAGCATTGTGATGAAAATTTATTCATATCACATTCGGTTCAGCAGTATAAAAACGACCGCGATATTCCAAGAAGTTGCACAATTAGGTTTTTTTGTCGTCCAAATAAAAATGGAGAAGTTTTAACAAGGAACTGGCTGTTTTCCACCGTCTAATGAGTGCCTTTTACTGTTTAACTTGCAAACTGATGTGTTTCATCACAGCAGCGTTTTCGAGTAATGGATTCTGTAATTGAAAACGTTCTCAAGAACGTAAAAAAATTCATGAACAGTCAGCTGAACACATAAACTCCACTATTGTTTTCTTTACATATATATTTTTATATAGAAAAAGAGATATTATTCTATTCTTATAGGTTTATGAATTTTTATTCCAAAATATTTCCGTAATAATATTTAAATATTCAACGTTGCAATATTATTGCCGATTTAAAGCTCTAAAATTTATCTTTGTGACACTGATTGGGTGTGATGGTTATTTAATGTATTGTTATCTTAGAGCGTATTGCGGTGTTTGATAGGATATACTTATGTGTTTTGTGTAGAATAGGCTAATCTCAATTTATATGTATAAGGTTAAGCAATGTTTTATTAAAAATGCATCAAATAGCGAATTTGGCCGAAGGCCGAATAGTTGATCCACCACTTGACCAAAGCAGAAAAACGCACATTTTGATAAAAACTAACTTTTTAGAATGAAAAACAAGCTAGTATAAAAACGGTAGCCGATTTATGTCTATCCAACAATTCTCTTTATCGAGATAATATTCAATCTCATGTTCAAATTCAGATGTTTTAACAGCTATGATGCCAAAAATAAAATTTCCCGCTGATTATATTTAACAATTATTGTTCTAGAATCCAAAAAGTGATGGTTTTAACGGAAGTTACACTATTCAACTATTCGACCTTAAAATGTCGAAGTCGGGTCAAATTTTGGTCAAATGTTCGACCAGGCTATGTCGATATATTTGTTTTGGTCACTGAGTTAGCTCAGTGAATAGAAGTTCCATGTTTCGCGCTGCTATTACGCAATGGCATGGTTCGAATACTGTCTGTCCGAAAATCAAAGACCATCATACTTGTATGATGCAGTGCTTGCACGTGCATACATAATGTGTATCTGCGTCGTGTGGTGTGGATTGTATATAGCATTTGTGTCACAAAAATTTAATTATAAGTATGGAATAACATGTAAGCAGTTCTGCGTTTGACAGAGTTGCACTATAAAAAATAAAAAACCTTTGGTGCGTCATTATGTTTTTTTATTTTCCAAGAACTTTGGATGTTTGATAAGAATTCATAATAAGAATAATAATAATAAATAATAATAGACCAAGCTGAGATTGGAAATGTTGTAAAACTAAATATAATTATTTACCATTCCTTCCATGATTTTTCCAAAGACGACGTGATGCTTGTCGAGCCAAGGCGTTGGTACCAAAGTAATAAAAAATTGACATGAATTAGAGTCAGGGCCGCTGTTGGCCATAGAAACCCAACCTGCTTCAGAATGCTTTAAAATGAAGTTTTCATCAGGAAATGTTTTGCCGAACAAACTTATTCCTGTTAAACATAATTTAATGTTGGACAAAGTCTCATGCTCATGTTATAGACAATTTTATTTATATTATTAATTTATATTTAAAAAAAACTACTCATATTCGTCACCAGTGAACAGTTTAGACCCTTCACTATGCAATTACCCTTTTGAAGCCAATAAACAGTTAAGAGCTGTTGGAATTTCTATGCAGCGTTTTTAACGACAATAAGCACCAGCTGACCAATTTATTTACTTTTCGTTTTTGCAGAATGCATTGAAATAGGCAATTCAAAAGATTTCAAAGTTTTACTTGAATGTCGTAATTGTGTGATAGCTTAAATAACATAAAGTATATAAAAAAAGTGTGGAACATGAAACAAGTAATTGAGCTTGAAACCGTACAACCTCCAGTTCCATCACGGTTCAGGACATCTCCACCTTGAATCATGAATGATTTGATCACTCTGTGAAATTTCGATCCCTTGTATGTTAAAAATTTTTCCGCACCATCTAATATAGTGTATAAATTTAAGAACGAATTAAACAACAAAAATTTTTTTATATGAAATATGGAAAAATTTTAAGAATAAGAAATAAAAGCTATAAAAGTTAAAATAGCCTGGTAATCAAAAATTAAGTTGACTTATTCAATCTAAGCCATTTTTTCAAATAACAAAAAGTGGGTAAATAGATTTCTTCATTTCGGCTAAGTAATAACGCCTTAATCCCCTGTAAAAATTTCTATATTTTTCTCACTTTCAAACAAAATCAACTGCAGCTTGATGTTTCACCATTAATTTGAAAAATACACTTGTTTTCAAATCAAAACGTGAATTTTGGTAAGAGCAAACACCTTAGACTTTTAGACTTTAGTCACCTTTACACTTCCATTAAAACTAAATTTCCGAGATTGCTTTTTGCACATCTTGCTACCAACACTTGAAAAATCTTTGTGTGTGAGAGACGAGTCATACAACTCTTTACTCTCAATGGGAACTTGCAAAAAAGTTACAAATTTAATTTTTTCTAAAATATTGTTAATATACTTTTTCAACTCGAAAACATGTATTGTGCACTTACTATATGCAATAAAATAACGCACTAAACGGGGTTACGGTGGTACGGAGAGACACTCGCTTACTCGGTATAAATAGTATGATTTAAATTCTAAAATCAATATAATGAAACGATGAAACAAATCGCATGCAAACGTTGTTCAATGTTTTTCAAATTATATATTTGAATAGGACAAACAATTTCACAAAGTATTTTTGAGCTGTTCATAGAATATGCTGACCAAGCGGGCCTAGGGCACAATATTACACAAATTACAAGTTTCGTATTTTACCGTCACGCTCGCGCGGGCTCAGTTGACAACACTCCTTTTATCATCTTTACCTTGCCTAGTCTTTCACTTCCTATTTTTGCAAAATCTAGCTCTAGAAATTGGTCTAAAAATTTATGATTGTTTTTCTTAGCAGAATAGATTTGTTAAAACGTTTCCCAATTAGTGATTTGACAAAACATTCCCAGAGATTCGCGATGAATTGGCGAGACGTATAGCTTTAGATGACTTGTTCCAATCAGGATTATTGCATATCCAAATCATGAAAAGGGCAATGACAGCCGTGTAAAGGATGTTAAAAAACAAGACCTTCGTCCGTCTGTTGAATTTCCTTTTATTCGACTAGATTGAAGCCAAATGATCTGTTATCGACGTCACTTTCGATAGAGTTATATAAAAAGGATCATCTCCTGTTTATCAACAGATTTGTCATTATGTGTTGTGGACTGAAGTACTGAATTTTTTGGGTACATATAACATCAAAGTTTTGTTACAAAGTAAAATTTGTTTGTTACAAGCCCAAGTTTTTTGTGCGTTGTTTGCTTCGCATCACATATATTTGTGTATTAATATTTATTTAATAATTAATTTAATAAAAAGTCTAACTAATGTCGAATATGTACTAAAAAGCAATATCATCAAAATAAACATCCTTTATTAGCAATATTAATGTTAATAAAGTTAATTGTGTATTTTATTGACATTTTGAGTAACATTTGTCTGGTGTGCAAAATGCGTCCCCAAAGAAAATATTCCGGTAAAAATTAGCGTTGACATTTTTTAAAAATTTTATGCGTGAAATTAAGACAAAATGGTATCTTAACAATATTGTAGAGCATGACTGCTGTAGTTTTATTAATGACAAAGTAGAAGCTACATTAGAGAGTAATGCAGTCCAAGTTCCCATTGAGGGTTAGGTCATAGGTCATATCCATGACTCCTAGAGGTGAATCCAGCGAGAATACGGTGATGTTCCACCAGACCATGAAAGAAGAAAATATTAAAAATTCAATGTAATAAAATAAATGGAAATTGGCAAAAAAAATCATTAACGGGAATAAACGGAGACGTATACATATATTAAGTAGTATTAATATATAGGATCGGTAATAATGAAATTGGCATAAAAAGTCATCAATTTCGCAATTTTGAAATCATCCTGCCATCGCAACATTTTTGATCCGCCACATTCGACCCCACCAAATAAAATTATAATAAAATAAAAAATTTCAAAAAAAAAAACTTTTTGCATTACATTAAATTGCATTACATAATAATATTTTGTGTTAAAAATTCTGTTACTCCTAACTATTTCTCGGTAGTCTTTATTACTTCATCTTTAATATTTATCAATACATTTATTTCTTTTTTTGTTCTAATATCTACACCAACATCACATCCAACTCGGATTTAATTTTTCTTACTTATAACTTTCTTTCATAAATTTTTCAATATTTCATAAATATTACAACAATTAATTATTGATTTTCCCATACCATTTTACATTTTTCATGTATCTCGAATATTTTAAAAAATATTCTTCTGTAATTTTTTTGGTTTGAGCAGAGCATGATGGCATAATGGTTAATGGTGATTTGATTTAACCGGGTTCAAATTCAAAAAGAGGATCCTGCCTATCACATGCTATGTGTGTGATGTGTGTCTTTGCAAGTTTTCCTGTACTGTATGCTGTGTGTTGTTGGGAACTCAAAAGTTACAGAAACTTGTAATAATTCTTACTTTGTATATTTTGCATCATGTTAATTTTTTTTATCATTATATTAATTTTTGCATGTTGTACCAATCTCTACATTTGTCATCATGTTAATCTTTTTTATTGTTATATTAATTCATAGCATATTGGATCAATATCTACAATAGTCAAAGTTTGATTTTTGTAAAAAAAAAATTTTTTTCAATCTAAAAAATACATTAATGAATTAAACTTATCTGAAATCCTTGAGCAAAGGCAATAAAATTTTTGACTGTTTTTGGGACAATATCACCAAATAAACCAATAATTATTTTTCCTTTAACTTCCTTGTCAAAACTTATTTCCAAAAAAACCTTGAATGAGTAGGAATTAAATTAAATTTAAATATTTTAGGTAATTTTAAAAAATTTCAAAATTTTAGAAATATTTTTCATATATATGCTTTTTTAATTGCAAAACATATGTTTCGATTGTCAAAAATCTTTCTGAGTAATTTATAATCACATAACAACATGTACACATAAATGACATTTATATTAAAATATATTGACTCCCTTTCAACTATTTTTCACATTCACATGACACTTTAATAAATAGAAAATAATACTAGAGAATTTTGGTTTTGATCGAATAAACATAAAAAATTAAATTAATTTAACGAATCACATCATTACCACAACAGTAAATTACACTGAATTAATTTTGAGCAAGGTGATTGAGTAATACTGAAAAAAATTATCTGGACTATAGAAATTATTTATGACAGCCAATTTGAAGTAGTCATAATATTATATTATGTTATTATAATAATTCAATTAACTTGTAAAGCACTATTTCTGCAATGTTCAACAGCGCTCCTCAATGAATTTTGCAAACAGATGGGTCTTGAGTTCCGCTCTGAACTTCGTAAGTGATAGAGAAGTAGTCAGAGAAGTAGGTAGAGAGTTCCAGAGAAAAGAACCAGAAAAAGCAAAAGCAGATTTAGCAAAAGAGTGTTTAACACGAGTTAAGAAGAAGTGAGAACAAAAAAAACAATTATAAACCAGGGCATTTAGGTTCAATTAATATATCTGATAAGTATTAAGAAAATAATTTAGATTGAGACTTATACATAAATGTGCAAATATTAAAAATTATTCTATATTTTATAGGTAGCCAGTGCAAGAGAACAAGATATGGAGAATAAAAAATTATGATATAAATAAACGTTGAAAATTTTTCTGTAATTCGGAACCTGAAGTAGAGTCAAAAATTTTAGCCTGAGTTGGATTTTTTTGAGGGACTAGAGTCGGAGCTGGATATTTTTCATCTAACTTTGACACACTGACACTGGTATAGTAACAGTAAGATAGACTATTTTTATTTATCTCCATCTATTTGTTGATAGCAGGGGATAGGATGAGATGATTATTTATAAGTATAAGTGTTTTTAAAGTGGGTGGGTAGCTTAGATAGATAGACAATTACAATTAGACATACCACACACACATACAATACGAATATATATAATATACGTATTATAGACAATGATTCGACATCACCCATAAACAAACATTAACTAACTACTAATAGAAAAACACACCTGATCGGTTACTTTGATTGCACTTGGTTTAGCACTTTTAACATCGTGATTATTAACTAGATGGCGGTCTTTCTTGAAATATATGATGCAATAAATGAAGAGTACAAACAAGGCGAGGACCACTAACACTCGCTTGGCAAACCGGTTCATGGTTTAATTTAATAACAATTTAATGAGAAAAGTAAACAACAGGCAATCAAAGATTTCTAGACTTCCAGGTTCGCTCAATACAACTGCTCGCCTGCTCAAATTATTCTCTCTATAATATAGATAGACTAAAGACAGTACTGTTTATGAGTGAATATATTAAATTTAATTCAGGATGATTAATTAAATTTATTAATGATAAATTTTTAAAAATACTTATTTCGCAACCCCCCTCCTGTAATCCTTCTCCTAGAGCGTTACATATCATATCATATCATAGTGACGTAAAATTTATAACAGAAACTGAGCCAATTATATCAAAATTGCTATAACCAGGATCGAACTGGCTTAAAAAAACCGGCCCGGATAATTTGGTATCGGCAACCCATTAGTTTGAAATTTTTTTTCATTTAAATATTTTTTTCTTATTTTCAATTTATTTATATTTTTATATATAATTTTTTAGTTCCTATGATTATTTCATGCATAATGATAAAATTTTAAACCTCAAAAACACCGCTGGAATTCGTATAAAAGATTTTATTTATTACACGTTCAAATTTGTAATTCTGCAAAACATCTTTAAATAGTTAAATATCTCCGAATTGATCTAACAACTTATACATAAAAAACATTATAGCGAAGTGGTGGGCAAACTTTATGCTGTAAGGGCCGCATTGAGAACTATTTTACCTTTTATCTTTGAAGGACCGCATATGTACTTAAGCAACAAATTTTTTCGACCTGGGGAGAATTTTTTTAAGATTTGTGGGTCCTTTTTTTGATCATAATATCTGGCTGACGACCTTTTTAAGGCTTCGAATGTGGCCCGCGGGCAGTAGTTTGCCACCCCTGTTATAGTATAATAATTTTATAGTTCACTGTTAACTACTATGACAACCTTTTCATCGTTTCACGAGCCGATGCTGAAACACCAATGATTTCATCGTTATTGATTCCCAGGAGACATCATCATTTCCATATGACATCATCATAAATTATTGTAAGTTGACTGGCTCAGTAAAATTGTTAATTTGTTCAAAATGTATTTCAATTTTAAAAACGACCTCTCACATAGCACCTAACAGTAGATTTTTTACAACCCTCTATGGTATGAAAAGATTCTTTGATTTACAATCATTAACAGATAGCGAAGATAACAAATATAACAAGATAACAATAATTAATTATATCGCGTAGTTAGTTCCGACCATTCGGGCGGATATAAATTCAATTCAAATTCAAAGGCGAATTCAAAGGATAAATTTAAAAAGACACGTAGATGATGAAAGAGAGGTGCAAAAAGATTTCCTTCTGTAGAAAATAAACTAAATGTATAATACTGATCAATTTATCATAATTCAAAAATTAAATTGCTTTCAAACGCTTTTCCATCTAGTCAGAGCCATAAACCATTGTTTGACTTTTCGATTACACTTCCAGTCTAAAGAAAAATTTGGTTGTTTCAAATTTGTATATTAAAGTTGTACATTAAAAAATTTAATGTTATAATTCTCATTCATCCATTCTTATTCTTAATCTTATTTCTTTTTATCAATTTTGTAATTATTTTTACAGAATATAAACTTAAAAAGATAGAAATTTATGGAATTCAAATTTCGTTCAAGCCTGGTCAGCACATGGTTTGAACGACTAAAAAATGAACGACGGTAATAAAAAGTGAGTCAGGAAAGACATTATCGTCTTCCATTATTTTTATCCTACGGTCACATTGAGTGTTTGTTTTCAAAATTAGTTATAAAATATTAAAATATTATTCAACAGCGCACATTTTTTTAAATCATTCGAGAGTCCGATAAAAAATTAATGAAATGGCAGAATGGGACGAAAAAAGTTTGTTTAACTGTTCAATTAATTATCCTATAATTTTCTAATCATTTAAAATAATAATAATAAAATTAATGATAAAGATTATGATGATAAATTTCATTTTCATATGCAAAAAGGATATCTAACTTAATAATTTTGTGATTTCACACAATTACTACTAATGTAGCATGCGATTGTTGTTTAACGTGCAGACAGTAAGCAAACAATAATAATAATCTAGCAATGACCAGCACTTTGAAACGTGTAGTGGACACGATGAGGAAATTTTTGCTATCTTATAAAATCAGCGATCGATCAATCACGTTATTTGTAATCTATGGTAAACTATGGAAAATTTAAACGAAGTGCACCGAAGTTCAGATGTTTGATGCAACTGAGGCTGGATGTCAACTTGAAAACATTTCTAACATTCGTTGACGCTTGATCGTGAAAGTTATTATTTTTCGATATTAAAAAATGACTATTTTTACGTATGCCTAAAATTATTCTTTCCCTTCTTTTTTCCTTCTATACACTTGTCCTTTTGTCATCCAGACATCTGAATGGTATTCCCACAATTATTACCCCATTCCGTTGCACGTAGCCAGCTGAAATTTTCAGGGTAGGTATGGGACATTTTTTGTCCGAAACCAACACCCTAGTTTGTTCATACATTGAGATGAAGGTCGTTTAAAAATGATTTTTCCTTTTAATAGTATTTTGCATTTTTGAAATTAATTTTTGGCTTAATTATCTCAGAAATGTTGTCACTACTGCATTACTTTTCTTCATGAAGGTTAACGTCATATCTTCAAAAAGATTAACTTTTGTTGATGGGATCAAATTTAATCGAACGACTTTGTCTGAAACATACTGAAGTTAACGTGAGAGAATGAATTTTTGGGTTTGATACATTTTAAAATGCAGGCAAAGTATCTTTTAACAATATATAAATTCACTCATAAGTGCGGTTTTCGATGTGTTCAACAGGTCTCCTCGATAAAAATTGCAAACAGATAAATTTTGAGTAACGGAGAAGTAGTCAGAAAAGATGGAAGAAAGCTTCAAAGGAAAATACCAGAAAAAGGAAAAGCGATCTCAGCATAAAAGAGTTTGTCAGAAATTAGGGAATGTGAAAACGAGCAGACGATCGTAGACGTTTAGCGTAAATTAAAATATCTGAAAGTTACTTAAAAAATAAATAATTTATAATAAAATTTGTATATTAACATGCAAATTTTAATAATTGTTCTATATTTTAAATTAGTAATTGAGAAAGATAAACATATATTTATTTATATTCATATATTTTCATATTTATGTATTCGTATAAACATAAATATGTATTTATATATATTTATGACGTTTTCATGTTATACCTGCTTTCTAACAAAACTTATTTACGGATGAAGAACCAGAGAAATGTAAGCACCTTGATTAGGTAGGTACATTAATGTAAATAATTGTTTATTGAAACCTAATTTAATATTTCCATTCCTAAAACAATTATGAATTCGTTTGAAATTCAAAATTTAGAGTAATAACATTTGAAATATTTCTTCTGATATAAGAATTCATTTCATCCGTTCCACAAGCATATCTTCTTTGCGCCTCGAGCAAAAATGTTTTCAAACCTTTGATGGCCACCACGCAAGCACTCCTATCAATCCAGACATTCAAACCATCATCTGCACTACTACTGAATGCATTCATGCACTATCAACATTTACAGTGCACCTATCGGCATTCAAACATCATCAACATCATCAGTGCATGCTTTAATTCATCAATATTTTCAGTGCATGCATGCATTCATTCATCATCAATGTTATTAATGCATGCGTTTATTCATCATCACCACACGCATTTATTCATCAACATTATCAGTGCATTCATTCATTCATCATCATCATCATTGTCAGTGCATGCATTTCAAACATCGTCAACATCATCAGTGGCCGATCTAGACAACTTTGACGGAGGAGGCCAAGATTTTTACAAATATATGACGATCGAGGGGGATGGGAATTTTAAAAAAATGTCGATGAGGCGGGAATAAAAAACTGTCGATCAAAAATTACTTGACAACCGGGGTGAAGGGAATTTTGAATTTTCAACAAAAAGTTTGAGCGGGGAGGGGAATTTCACAATTTTTTTTGAAAAATTTTCAATGTTCAGCAGGGGGCAACTTTTCTAGTAATGTCAATTTTTCCTACAAAAACACTACATTTTTTATTAAAATAACCACTTTTACTAATTTTTAGCACAAACAACGCTTGCCACAGGGGAGGCATCCCGGTCCCCCTAAATCCGCCAGTGAACTCCATCGGCATTCAAACAATGCCGACATACACAACACTAAATTACTTCATATTTTCTTATTCTCACGACCAAAAAAGTTATTTTCTGTATTTAAATGGTCTCATTTTTCATTCACATGTTTAGAGTTTATTGATGGGTTGAAGTTTTCGTATGGTGATGCGTTGTTTTGTTTATAAATATAATAAATTTATTTATTACACATTTTTGGTTCCGACTTCAGACTGATTCACCGCTCAAAGTCTGTATTAATAATTCACTCGATGAATAGGTAATTGGGAGTTAAAATTAAATATCTTTTTTAAATATTTTATTTCATTGCATTTCTTTTAATATTTAATCACCTAAATCATGAAATACTGCAAAAGTTAGTTTCTTCCTCGAAAATAAATCAGCATAGTAACCAAAAATATTTTTCCAGAGTTTATTTCATACATAAAATGCAACCGAATTTGAGTCCATAAATCAAGTGCAGCCAGTTTCAATAAACAAAACAATTCGAATTCAGCAAAATAAAAACTCCATGCTTAGGGGTTTGCACCAGGAAACTGTCATCTGACAAACATACGCGAAAAAGATCACCGATGTTCAGTGACAAACAGCGGGCCAATTTATGACATCTGAAAGTATGAATTCTACGCACTGCCCACGTGCCCAGTGCAAAAACACAATGATAACACTACCGATGGCATCTCTTAAATTTATAATTTTTAAATAAAGTTATTCTGAAAATTTAATTTTTAATAAAACTTTTAAAGCTAATTTGAAAAGCTGAAACTAAAAAAATTACTCCAAAATATAAAAGCAGTTGGCGATTATTTACGACGGCTTTTTTGTTCACAGAAGTTGCCTAT